TCCCTCTGAGGCAGGCTGTTTGCTTTTTCTCCCTTCCTCCAAAGCAAGCGATTTTTGCCTAGGCTCAGGATCACAGAAAATATCTGTCTCCTCTCATATTGTCATTTTTCTAGTATCATAAACCAGTAGCTTAGAGTTTCTGCTTCTTATAAGAGGAAGATCTACAGAAATAGGGTTTCCCCTAGAAGGCCAATGAATGGACCTTCAGTTTCCTGCACTGTCTTCATTATTTCCCCTGAACAACTGGTAGGTGTCCAAGACGAGCTTACAAATGACTGTTAACTCTCCTTGTTTCTTGAACTCCCAGATATTTCAAATTGACATGCTTGCTCACATCTAGCCTTTAAGAATCTGCTGAAATTTTGGCTGATTTATTCTTACCCTCTTATATAGTGGTCATCTTGTTCTCCTGTGCTCTGCCAAAGGCCAAAGACATTTTTGTGCTCCATCTCCCCTTGGCAGGGCCTGCCACTCTGGAATTTAGTCTACTTGGTCACCTTTTGACCTCAAATCTCTAATGTAGTCAGGAAAAATTATGATCTTTGTATATTATCTGCCTTTTTCTATTTTTACAGTGGATCCAAAGTTCTACATTTTAGCTGAAATGAAACTCCAAAGACAAATTTTAATCTTTTTTTTTTCAATTTTTAATCTTTAAGGAGCAATTTATAATAGCACTAACTGCTGAACCTGGAATAAAAATAATTCTAAATTCTCAATTTGTCTCCTGAATTTGATAAATTGATAACTAATTAAATTTGATAATTTTTAGTATGTAAACAGAAATAGAAATTAATTAAGATTTATTTTAAAAATCCTGGAAAACAGCAAGCTATTTAAATACATTGTTACTTTGGTCTCCCTCATAGCTAAATTAAGGGAATGGGGTCGGGGACATGAACCTTATGCTCTTAGTTTAGTTTTGTTTTCAAGAAAGATGAGGAGGAGACTGTCACCAATCTTCTCCAGTGTTCAGAATACATTACAAATATGTTTCATCTCTAAAGTATTAGACTGGTGCTCCTTCAGAGTCTATGATACATCAATTATTTCTAAGGTTAGAATAGAGCACATGAAATAACATCACAGCAGTATTGTTAGTTTTCACTAATCCATAGAGTTAGAAAGAATTTAAAGTAGTCTACTTCAAACTCCTATTTAATGCAAAAATTTCCTCTAAACATCCCGATTGCCTGCACACCTGTAATGTGGAAGAAGTCTCTACTCAGCCTACTCAATTTTGGGAAAAAATAATTCTTCCAAAATATCAAGCCAAAATGAATATCTCACACTGAGCCAAAATGAAATTCCCTAAATGTGCAATCATTTGTTCTAATTTATCATTCCAGAACTTACAGTAAATCTAATCCCTTTTTTACTTGAAAGGTCATCATATACTTGAAAGTGATTGTGTTTCCTTTTTCTTTTTTCCAAACTGGAACTTCCTAGTACCATCTATTATATTTCCTTTATGCCCATTAAACTGCAGTCTTATGGCTTATGTCTCAAAACTTTGTGTGCTCCAACTGTGACCCATACTTCCTCCTTCATGATCTAAATATTAAATGTTCTGAAATGTTATATACCCCGGTTTCCATTTTTACTTCCTCTATTTATATTTTCCTTCTGAACACTCAAATCTAATTTCTTTGTCAGGTATCACCTCTATGAAAATAACACTGAAATCTAAGCTTTGTCATCTCTTGAAATCAGGGACAAATTCTTTTGTTTTGTGTCTGTAGAATACTTCATGATGGATCACCCAAAGCCCTTGTGGTTTGGGGTCAGAAAAGTTTTGCATTTGCTTCTGCCTGAGTCCAAAATAGTAACAACACTGGCTTATGTTTAGCATATATTCCTGCTAAGGGTAGTGCAAACTAATACCCCATAGCTACACAAAACAGTTCCTCAGGTAATCATTTTCCTTACGCAATGCCCAGGTTGACAGAGAATTCCTCAAATGTTCTCCTGGTCAGTAGGCACTGTTTTTTCCGCATTTTTGCAGGTGACAATCCAGGGTCAGGGATCTCAGTCCCAGGTCTGTCCCTTCTCCTACCTCAACCAATAGGTTTAGGCCTAAAATTTCAGCACTTGTCCCATTCTAAGCAGTAAACACCCGTATCTAAGTCCACTGACATTTTCCCAGGCTACTGACATATCCATGTTGAAGTTAATGCTCAGCCTTTAAATTCCTTCATTTAATTTCCGTCATCCACAGATTTATCCTATCTTTGTTTTGGGCTAAACTTTGGATTTACATCTTTTCTTATGGTTCAGCTAATGTTTATGTGTGTACACTGTGTGTGTGTGTGTGTGTGTGTGTGTGTGTGTGTGTGTGTAAGGTGTCCATGTTTACTCAGCCCTACAGCTGCAAGAGCCAGAACTCTGCTGCATTTCCCAACATCCAGAGGCTGAGTCTACTTGGTTTTTCCATTGGCAACTCAAGCTCTGTGTATCAAAAATATACACATATCACAATTCCACCAAAACTTCCTATTTTGCCATAACTCATGGCACTCTGTCTTGGTTTTCCAAGTATGAAATTTTGAAAACATCTTCAATCCAGTATCCCTGCTGCACTCAATCTAGTTAGTCAACAAGCTAATTTTACAATGGCAACATTTCACTTAACATATTCTAGTAATTGTGGTGACTCAAAAATGAAATATTTATCTTTCTGAATTTTTATGCAGATCAAATGAGATAAATAGATCAGACAGGAGGCACTACAAGACTACAATAACAGATGAAATAAATTAGTTATTGAGTGACCCAGTCAACCCAACATTTGCACTTCAACTAGTAATATATCATGAATTTCAACAAATTCACATGTATCTCATAACTACCAAGAATGTACAAATGAAAAGCAAATTCATTCACTCAAAACCTGATACACATCTCTCTCATAGTTTTAATATTTCTTAATTTTTATCTTATTAGTTACCTGGGCATGAACAGTGTCTGATTTCTCTTATAAACCAAAAAATCTGTTTGAATGGATAAAAATGAACTAATTAAAAATGAATTAACTAAAATTTAGCCTACATTCTTTGCCAAGGACTTTTCCTATTTTATCTTATTTAACCTTAATAATAATTGTGTGTTGTGTGTTAGTTACTCAGCCATGTCTGACTCTTTGCGACTCCATGGACTGTAGCCCACCAGGTTCCTTTGTCCATGGGATTCTCCAGGCAAGAATACTGGAGTAGGTTGCCATTTCCTTCTCCAAATAGTAATAATTAATTATTATTTAATAATCATAATAAGTAATTTCTATTGTTCCAATTCTACAGATGAGGGAATTCAGATCCATGGAAGTTAAATAATTTTGATAATGGCCATAAGTAGAATAGGACAGAATCAGGATTTTATCACATGTAACCCTATTGCAGAGCTGGAAATAGAATTTATTATTTCTTTCAGAAGAGTATATTCATATCATATTAATAGTCGGATTGCTCTCTTTGAGAAAAACTTCATGTGTTAAGTCCAGTGGCAAACGTGATACTCAACACTAACCTCAGTTCAGATTGTATACATTTGCTGAGCTCTAACTTTCTGGTCTGGAGAGTACATATCTTCCAATTTAATAATAAAGTAGCTCTTCTGGCAGCCACATCACAATGTGGACTCATTTATTTCACACATAAATAAAATAACTGAGCTTTTTCCACATGCATTAGTAATAAATTTTTCTTCCCATGTTATAACTGAGTAGTTATATTTTCTTAATCTCTGAAGACTTACGATCCAAGAACCCAATTAAGCTCATTTTTTGTTTGTTTGTTTTGTTTTGTTTTTAGCTCACTAATCAAGTCTGTTGACAATTTTGGAATCCTGATTGTCTCTTTCATAGTATTAATTAGCCATTCTTTCTAGGTTTTTATCAACGGTTTTCAATGTTTATAAAATCATTATAAAAGGTACTGGAGATATATTAAAAAGCTTTATTGTTCCACAAAAGACGCAAAATGATATTCTTAAATATAATACCCACTTTTTTGTCTTTATATTGATAATATTTTGATAAGAAAATGATCTAGAATAAGTAGAGTTAAAATCTTTTGTATTATAAATTCATATCTTTGTGTGAAAAAAAAATTTTTCCATCTCTCGTGAAATAAACTCCATTGAAATTCTCCATTGGAATGAATGTGATTCTAGACTTGATAGAGCTAATGTGTTTTGAAAAGCCAACTTTATTAGTGATATAGATAAAATACATTAAAATATTATAGAGTTAAAAATGATTAGCAAAGGATTAAAGAAAAAAGAGATTTCTCAACAATTACTGATAAAAAATAAAAAAGAATAAGTTCAAAATAGGGCAGTTTTTTTTTAATGAAAGCTAAGTTTAAGAACATGTGAAACCTCGGAAATTAAAAAAAAAAAATTAAAAGCTCTTAGAACTGTGACACAAAATGTGTATAACTATCTTAAGCAGAGACAGTAATTTTGATTTTAAGAATAGTTGGTCATTTCTGTGGACTGTACTTGTCATCAGTGATTTTATTTTTGAAACATCATAAGCTTAAAATACAGTATAATCAAATGATTATCTAACACCTCCAGTACCAAACTTCATTGTCCCAAGTTTGTTCTGAACTCTGATTTTTAATAATTTTGCCCTGTGTACAGTGCTTACAAAAATAAATATATTCTGCACTCTACACAGATTTGCTATAACTTGTCTGGTTTTCCAAGTATTTTGCAGGAACCAGAGACTTTCAGTCTCTCTCTGTCTCTTCTCTCGCCCATTTTATATCAGATAATGTTAGAGTTGATATATATCAACTAGGACTGATAGTCTTAGTTTTCAGCATTCACTCAATGCAAATCATGCTTAGATCACAGGGTAACCAGTCCTGAGAATCTTCTACATGGAAACAATCATTTTTTATTCCATTTCCTCTTCCTAGGTAGAGAGGTAGTTTAAATATATATCAGTGTCCTCTAGATTTCAATAAACTAAAAGGTATCAATCTTTTCATCTACAGCAAAATGTGGATAATGTTATCGAAGAAGTAAAAAATATATGCAGTGTTCTGGGATGTGTGGAGACCAAACAAATTACAGATGCTGTAAATGAACTAAATCTTATTCTTCAGGGAAAAGCAAAGGTAAATACACTTATTTATTACACAACAATTATTTCAATAATTAATTAAGGAGAGTGAAAGACTTTTGACTAACTGGTACAAACGTATGTGTGTGTGTATGTGTGTGCATGTGTTGCTATTCATATATATTTCAAACATTTGGGGGTAATGAAAACCTAATTCTATTATACCAAAATGATTTAATTAAAAGGAAATTTCTTATACCTTCAAAGTGTAACTACAATATAACCTTCAAATGAGACTGAAATCTACCCTACAGTCCTACCTAGATGAATGTGCTTATATAATAATATTCACAGGCAAGTGTTTGTATAGACTATTAATGGCTCTCATGCACATCAGTGTATGCAGAGGCAGGCACCCATGCTTGCTTGGACAAGCATTTATGCAGGAAAGAAGAGATCAGTTTTTGTGATTTTTTTTTTTGTTGAATCTTCAAGGCACACTGCTTTGATGATCTCACATTCTATAATGATTTCCTGGTTTTTCCATTTATAAAAATGAGCACTATATGATTTTTTTTTTAAATCTCAGAAATCGGATGTAGATTATATGTGATTATTGCCTAAGAAAAAGATTAGGACATCTGGTTACAATGAATTGTTCAGTCTTATTACTAGGTTAACAGTGATAAAGTCAAAAAGATATGATACTGCTGATGGTAATAACTAATACTTGATAGTGACTTGCAATGGTATCTTCACTTATATATTACTTCATTTCATTTAATTTTTATTTTATTTCAATTAATCCTCACAGCAATACTTTGGTATTTTACTGTTTATTTTAGTATTAAAATCTGATGCTTAGAGTGCTGTGTGTAGACGATTAATAAGCAGCAAAATAGAAATGTGAGCTCAGGCCTCTAAACACACTTCAGTACATATGAAACTTCATAAAAGAGAGTGACTGCATGCATTCCTTATCTCTATGGATAGGAAGAGCATAGATTCTATTACCTTGAATGCACCAGTCTTGAAAGTTCAAAAAGACTGATTTACGAAGTTGACAATTATACTAATATATATAAATTGTCATACTTGTTGTTTCAAATAGGTGACTTGGTAAAAAGCAGTAATTTCTTAGTATTGGACATCCTGTGTCTTTTTTTTCCCTCAAGTGCAATTGCTTTACAATGTTGTGTTAGTTTCTGCTACATAAGGAAGTGAATCAGCTATGTGTATACATGTTCATTGAATCAGCTATATGTATATATATGTCTCCTCCCTCCTGAGTCTCCCTCCTACTCTCCCATCTCACCCTTTTAAGTCATCACAGAGCACCAAGCTGAGCTCCCTATGATATGCAGCAGCTTCTCACTAGCTATTTACACATGGTAGTGTATATATGTCAATGCTACGCTCTCAATTCTTCTCCTCCTCTCCTTCACAATCACCTACCCCTGCCCCAATCCATAAGTCCGTTCTCTACATTTATGTCTCTATTCCTGCCCTGCAAATAGGTTCATCAGTACCATTTTTCTTGATTCTATGTGCTTAGTCACTCAGTCATGTCCAACTCTTTGCGACCCCATGGACTGTAGCCCAGTAGGCTGCTCTGTCTGTGGCAATTCTCCAGGCAAGAAGACTGGAGTGGGTTCCCGTGCCTTCCTCCAGGGGATCCTCCCAACTCAGGGATGGAATCCAGGTCTCCCACATTGCAGGAGGACTCTTTACCATCTGAGCAACCAGGGAAGCCCAAGAATACTGGAGTGGGTAGCCAATCCCTTCTCCAGGGGATCTTCCCAACCCAGGAATCGAACTGGGGCCTCCTGAATTGCAGGCGTATTCTTTACCAGCTGAGCTACCAGGGAAGCCTGGTAGATTTCTTACATACGTGTTAATATATGGTATTTGTTTTGGCCCCTATGTCTTATTATAAATAATTACAATTGTGTTTTTTGCAATCATATGTAATAAATCCAGAATTGTAAATACCCTGTTTGCATTACATGAACAGTGACAGTGATGACTGAAGAGCAAAGTTGTTATACCAACAAAAGATTTTACAACAGCTAAAGTTAATTTATGATAACAAGCGAGAGTTAACTTGCAACAAGTTATTCATTTCTCTTGGATTACCACCTTTTGGAGATAATACGAATACTTAGAGCTGGTAACAAAATACAAAAAGCATAGGGTCATGCAGAGATGATTTGAATTTGAGATCTGCCACTTCCCAGGTGAATATACTTTGGAAAACTAATTAATTTCTCTAACTTTCAATTTTCCTCATTTCTAAAACAGAAAAAGAAAACAGAATTTGCAGGGTTCTTGCATCAGAAATAACATTAACAAATGGGCCAGATGATAGTGTGTTTTGAGTGGCTCAGTGGTAAAGAATCTGTCTGCAATGGAGACCGCCTACAATGCAGAAGATGAAGGTTCAGTCCCTGGGTTGGGAAGATCCCCTGGAGAAAGAAATGGCAAACCAGTCCAGCATTCTTGCCTAGGAAAACTGATGGACAGAGGAGTGTGGCGGGCTACAGTCCATGAGGTCACAAACAGACACAATCTAGCAAGCAAACCACTACCACCCATTATTATTAGTGGAAGTAGTAGAGATGATGCTGTAGTAGTTTTTTATCATCTTCCTCATGAGGCCAAGATGAAGAGTTTAATTCACCCAAGTACCACTAAGTACTCTCTTATCTCTGGACCGTTGGTTATAGCCAACCTCATGGCAAATGCTAGAGTAGGAGGCCAGACACATGAATGTGGACACATGTCTTCCCATCTGTTAAGACCACTTGGCTGTTCTTCAGTTTTTATGTCCTGCTCTCAGTAAATCAGTAGAAACAAACAAATGATCAAAGAAGGAGGAAAATCTAATTTTAGGATGAAGCACTTAAAATGCTTTTAAAGGAGCACTTTAATAAAAAAAAAAAAAAGCTTTTTAAAGAAAAGGCTTTCTTTAAACATCCATTTTCTGAAACTCCCTAGATTAAAAAAAAAAATGACAGTTTTCTCAAAAATATCAAACTTTCAACATATCTGAAGCAAAAGAATCCTTCAAGGAGAAACAAAGTATTTCCTAGGAAAATATGGACAATCACAATAATCAAGAGAAGCCCATATCATATTTCACATTTCTTCTATACTTCTGAGCACTAAACTGTATGTGACTATTCATGCATAGAAATGAAGAAAAGAATTGACATTTACCAGTTTTATTTCATATGTGCCAAGAATCAAAATAAATAGTTGAATATCCCCAAGTAAACAGATTCTGCTTGAGTACATTTTGAAAATTAACTTACTCAACATCATTCAGATATTTTGTCCATCCCTTTTCTCAACGTATCTTAACTATAAGCCCACCTATATAAGAAAATCAGCACAAGTAGTAAGTATATTTTACTTATTATTTCTGTAGTATTATTTCTGTAGTAACCAACTAATAATTTGGCTAATAATGCCAAAGTAATTCAATCTATCCACCCACCATAAACCTAAAACTAAAGAAACACTGAGAAATATGTCTTCTGCCAACAAACTCAAATTTCAAAGCTGTCCTTTTTCTTGGCTGCATTTTTAGGTCAACTAGCAAAACACTATTTCCTGCCATACCGGGAAGTAATTATTTACTAAATGTAAGTTTTGGCAAAATGAAGAATTATATCACGAATGCAGTTGTACTCCATCTATACTTCATGCTCCCACCTAGCACTGGAAACAATTTTCCATTCTTTAGAATTATATTCCAGAAGCTCACATAATATATTTCCATTAAATATGCAATAAACAAACTACAAATAAAAAATGCAGTCTTACACACTGTGCTGTAGGTGGGTGTCATGGTGATTTTAAAATACAAGCTTACATTTCTGAATAAACTGACTTCTAGTTAAGTCATGGTAACGTGTTTAACAATCTCACCCACAAAGCTGGGGTAAAGATCTCATTGTTCAGCTTAGTAGTTGAATCTATGCTCAGATGACCTATTTTACCTAAGAGAAATGCTTCTGAGAAGGTTCATGTGAATGATATTCTTCAATGAAAAGTTATATAAATGTTTAATTACATTCTAAACATGACAGAAGACTTTTCTCTCTAAAAGGAATACTCTAACAAGTTCCTTGATACAGGAAAACAATTATTCCCTAGTTTGTTTGTTTGAGAAATCAAGCTTTTCATTAATTGGATTTCCTTCAAAGCAAACTTGTCAAAGCAAAATTTCAAAAAAAATTTAGTGTCAATTAAAATGGATCTTGTTAGAAAACTGAATTTGCTTTTGGACTCAAATGTAACTTTTAGTGAATCTGTGAATCACCTACCTTATATAGTTTTCATGATAATGAAGTTATAGCCAGTAAATTCTAAACCACTAAAGTAACTCCAGATGTACAATAAACATAAACAAACAAGCAAGTAAAAATCACCATGCTAATGGATACAAATTTAAATGATGATGAAAAACACAAATTTCAGATAGTATTTTTTTTTAATTCAGGATACAATCTCAAGTGTTTGACTACCAGTTTCTCTTTTTAATCCTACAAAATAAAGAAATGAAACTATACAGTGAATCTGTATGATTTTTTTAAGCCTCTATCTAAGTGACTGTTAAAATAAGAACTGAACACACTAAACAGAGAAAATTGACAAATCTTTTATACTAAAATATCAGTCTCCGTTGTGGAAGGGGGATTGGATTTTGGGACCATCCGTGGGTGTGTGCTGAGTTGCTTCAGTCATGTCCGACTCTTTCCGACCCTATGGACTGCAGCCCGCCAGGCTCCTTCGTCCATGGGATTCTCCAAGAAAGAAACTGGAGTGGGTTGCTATACTCTCATCCAGGGGATCTTCCCCACCCACGGATCAAACCTGGGTCTCCTGCATTGCAGGCAGATTTTTTTACTGTCTGAACCACCAGAAGCTATTTTGCCACCAGGCAATATCTGCAGAACTGTTCAAATAATACTAAGAAACATGAGTTTATGCTAGAAATTTTTTTCCTTGAATCAAATAACAAAGATTGCTGATGATGACAGTTAGAAGACTTTTCTTTCATCTTACAATTTAGATTTCCGTTTAATAAGTAATATTGATATAGGACACCAAGAAATGCATTTTCCTTTTATCATGGCAAAGAAATTTATGTATGTAGATTGTGGACATTATTGGTTTGGTTTTCCAAATTTGTTTTCCGAATAACAAGTGTATCTTTGGACCTATTTTTTTTTTCAGAATCTTCATCAAAATTCAGACACTTCAGCAAAAGGTAAAACATACGTGCATCCAAGTATTTTTTAAATAAACAATTTCTAAAGTCAAAAATAATTTAATTTTTGCAAATATGGTGATAACACACACACAAAATATTTTTGAGGGAAAAAACTTTTGTTAAAACTCTTTTTACTGACGGTAGTAATTATTCTGCAAGTGAATAAAAATCCACTGCCTTTGAGCCTGAGATTTTTTAAAAAATAAAGTCAAGAAAGCTATAAAAATAAAAGGAATTCTGAAAATGTCCTTATTATCATTCTAAGAAAAAATAAAATTTTATTTAACTAATGATATTATGATGTAAGAGAAGTCAAAAATTTAGCAGATATCTTTCTTCAAGGTCATTAATTTCCATTTTAAAATCAAGCTCTATTTGAAACACCAACTTAATGTATCAGGCAGGAGGATTTGGTTCTGAAATATTTAAGTGTTTGCAGAAGCTCTGAGCCTACAAAACTGTAAGCCACAGAAGGACTGGGCCTCTGTTGAAAAGGGTAGATAGTGTGGTGTACAGCAATGAGTCTGGCTTCTGGAATCAGGCAGAACTGGTTTTGAATTCCAACTGCCCATTTTTTGACTCTGATAGTAAAGAATGAAACTCTCTGATCCTCAGTTTTCCTAATATGAATAAAGGATAGGACAGTATGTAAAGTGCAGGGTGTGGTCAATATTGCTCTTGTTTGCACTGGCAGATCGTATTTGGCTTATGAACACTTCTGAGTATCTTAAAGGAAATAATCTGACTCACAAATGTTCAACTAACACTGTCAAAGGCGACAGTGAAAGCACAAACAATAATTCTGACCTGCCCTCTATACCCTTAGTGGTTTTCAGTAGAAAGTTATGTATAGCAGGATATCCTGTCAATTCTAATTCCCACCACTCAAAAGAAGATACAGTAAGTCCCCTACACATGAACCTTCAAGTTGCAAACTTTGAAAGATGCAAACGTGTGTTCAGGCATGAGTGAAACTGCAGCTTGCCCTCCATCTCCTACTGCTAATGATTCTTAAGCTCCACTATCTCCCACCTCCTCCTCTCCATCTCCAGTCAGTAACTTCTCACCTATTCACTTGACGTCAGTTTCTGTACCCAAGCTGTTGGACTGTACTACTGTACTTTTCAAGGCACTGTACTATCAGATTAAAAATATTTTTGTTTGCTTTTTATATGTTATTTGTGTGAAAAGTACTATAAATCTATTACAGTACAGAACTATGTAGTTGATTGTTAGCTGGGTACCTAGGCTAACTTTGTTGGACTTACAAACAAATTGGACTTACAAATGCACTCTCAGAACTGAACTCATTCATATATAGAGGACTTACTGTATTCAATACATAGGAAGAACTCCCCCACTTCACATCACAGACGAAAATGTGATAGCAAAGGGTAAGGGCAAAAAACCTGTGCTAGTGCAAAAATCCCTATTCCAAGCATTCACATAATAAAACACCAGAGCACCACCAAGGAAGGGAAGAGATAGACACCCCCTAACAATCTTCCTAGCATAGAATCAAGTAGAAGAACGAGGAGTGAATAAGTCAGAGGTATGCCTATATGAAACTGGCCTTTTCTTCCTTTCTATTAGGAATGTTGGAATAAACTCCTCTCATCCTATGTTCTTCAGGGGTCAGGATAGGAGAGTCCACAAAACTGCAAGAAATGTTCCCAGGGACTTATAATCCATGCTAAATCATCACAGAAAAGGAATTAATTCTGGATTAAAAATTCTCCATCTGTAGCTCTTATAAACTTTTCATAAATCATACTTCTCATTCTACAAGATAAATATATTTTTCTAGTATTTTATTATGTAGAAACACCTTACAGTAGTTTAAAAAGCAGAAAGGAAGAGTGCTGAAATGACAACAAAATGAAATGAACATTTGCCAGTACATACATGCAGTTGCTTTCTATTTAAGTACTCTGAAATAAAAGTCTAGAGCCCTCTTTACACAAAATGTTGATCTAACAACAAGCCACTATTATTGATGATTCTGATTCTCATACTTAATATTCTTATGGATTCTCTGCAATATACTTTGAAGCTAAGAGATCTGATCATACCTATGCTCTACACCAGCATTCATTAAATCTGGCATGTTGCCTGTTTGTGTAAACAAAGTTTATTTGGAACATGAAAAACAAACCAGATTTTAATACAGATTATGTTTGCAAGGAAAACACAGACTTCACTGAACAGAAGTACAGAAAGTGACAAAAGAGCAACAACGCAGAGACAATTTTCCATTCAAAAGTACATTAGAATAAAGTCATGTACTCTTACTCCTTCATTCCATAAAAAGGCAAACAAAACATTCTAATTAATGCATTTTAATCACCTATATATTGCCATTGCTTATTTCCTGTTATTACAAGTCTTTTCTCATTGCAAAATCAGGTACAATAAACATTTTCCCATATTTCACCAATCTCTATCCTACCTTAAAGAAGCAAATTCTAACCTAGAACTGTATTTCTGCAAAAAAGTAAAAAGTGGAGCTTGAGTAATTAGCCCAATAATTAAGATTCTCTAAAATATGTGCTGGGGCTTGAATTAAGGAGATCTCTAACTCAACTTTATGATTTATTTTAACGTGCATTCAATTGCACAAGATTGGGAATTATTAACAAGAAGTCTGTACTTCCTGCTTCAGAATACAATTTGAGGACCAGAGAAACAAGATGCTTTTATAAATTTATAATTCTCTGCCTCCTGTTGTTCAGGAGAAACCCTGCTGGTTGGCCTCCAGAGTTTGATGAGACCTCTTTAAAGACTATTTTTATGCGCCTTTCCTCTTCTGTTTCATTAATTGCTACTGCTGATTTCTCAGAGAATTTTAATTAGAGCTCTTTCACTCTGCTTGTCACCTCAGGCTGTTTCAACAAAGGGCACAATTTTAGAAACACAGCAAGTGAGTAGAACTTGGCCATCTCATAAATTTTGCACAAATTTATGAATAACTAAGTGAATAATAGCATGTGTTGGACAACAACAACAAAATGTTTAATTACGGGCAGAGCTACTGAGGGACAGGATGTGGGAAGAAGCTCCATGCAGAAGCTGGCCTCTTTCCTGGGCAATGGAACACGGCACACATACTATTGGAGGAAGTGTCTAGCTCATTCTGCCAATTTCTTGAAGCAACTAAGAACCATAAGAATCTGCCCACAATGCAGGAGACCCCAGTTGGATTCCTGGGTTGGGAAAGACACCCTGGGGGAGGGCACAGCAACGCACTGCAGTAATCTTCACTGGAGAATCCCCATGGACAGAGGTATCTGGTGGGCTACAATCCATGGGGTTGGAAGGAGTTCTTTCTCTACAGCTGAGCAACGAAGCACAGCACAGAAGAACCAAAAAGCAATTTCCGTTTTGGAAACTACTTATGAGAAAGTGCATGTGTCTCAAAAAAACAATAATACTGTGTGATGTGACTCCACACTGAATATGCTTAGGCCAAATTTGTGACTTGTTCCACTTGTTACACTCATCATCTTTTTATCTTTATTATTATTATTATTATTGGTTGAACTGCACGGCTGATAGGATCTTAGCTCGAATCTCACCTACTGCAGTTTAAGTGTCCGGATTCTTAACTACTGGACCACCCAGGAGCCCCAGCCCCACACTTGGCCCCTTTCATAATCTTAATGGACATTTCTTTTTCTACAACTCAAAATATAAAAACCTTTAAAATATGGTACAGTGTGTGGATCACAATAAATTGTGGAAAATTCTGAAAGAGATGGGAATACCAGACCACCTGACCTGCCTCTTGAGAAACCTGTATGCAGGTCAGGAAGCAACAGTTAGAACTGAACATGGAACAACAGACTNCTTTGGCCACTTCATGTGAAGAGTTGACTCATTGGAAAAAACCCTGATGCTGGGAGGGATTGGGGGCAGGAGGAGAAGGGAGCGACAGAGGATGAGATGGCTGGATGGCATCACCGACTCGATGGGCGTGAGTCTGAGTAACCTCAGGGAGTTGGTGATGGACAGGAAGGCCTGGTGTGCTGCAATTCATGGGGTCTTGAAGAGTCGGACAAGACTGAGTGACTGAACTGAACTGAACTGAACCGAACTAAAATAAAATGTTATGAGAATTTTTAAAAAATCACAACAGATCTTGAGAACATAAGATCTGAGGATGCGCTTGTTCTGACAATGTCTCCTCAGCTGCCAAGGGCTTGGCCACCTCGCTCTTCTGGGCTGTGGTCTTGGGGACTCACGGCTGCACATGACCCAGCCGCCCGAGGGGTGGGAGAGGCGGGACGGAGGGAGGGCGAGGAAGGAGCCCGCCCTGGACCTGGCATTCGGGACCCCATCTGGGACAGGTGAGCACCACCAGCCCTGCTCAACCAGTGGACTAAACCTGCAATCCGGAGAGCGAGAACAGGCATTCAGGCTGGACCACTCCAAAGCCAAGGCCACACAGCCCTACTCTGCAATTGACACTCCCAGTACCACGTGGACGCCTCGCTTGAAAAGGCCCGCACTCTGACCGCAGAGTCGCGAACCACAACTAACTGGTGTCCGACTGGCAAGCTTGGGGTTGAAATGGAGGGAAATTGTCCATCGGTCTGTCCCTCGCGCTATAGAAACCTCAGTCATCATCTGCGAACACCTGCCAGGCGTCTGTAAACTTAGCTCAGCCCTGCTGGGGAAAGGCTGCCAGTCGAGGCCGACCAGCTCCTGTCTCGGCCCTTTTCCTCCGGGAAATAGAGGCTGTACGGTAACCCGAGACAGAAGTCGGATGGAGGCTGACTTCTGGAGCAGCAATCATGGGCATGGGCGGAGGCCTCGCATCAGGAGGAAGGGGAGAGAACCTTCTGCCTTTACCCACACAGGCTGGCTCCGCCCATCCCTCCGCCAGGGCTCCATCACGTTCTCCGTGGTCCCGCCCAGAAGCCGAGGATTGCTGCGGATGCTTAGAGGCATGGGCTTCAGGCCTCCGGACAAGGTGTCTCCCTCCCAAGTACCGCCTGGAGGGCCGGCTCTCCTCCGGGAGGCTCTTCTCCGCAGCCCGGCGTCCAGTCCCCACGTGGGAACCGCCTCCAAGAACACTGTTTCTCCCCTCTGTCTTCCCCGCACTGGCAGCACTGCCTTTTCATTTAATTTCTCCAGAACAAGGTGGCCGAAAAGTAGAAATATCTGAAATTCGGCATTTCCGTACATAATTCTGGCCCATGCATTTCCGTACATAATTCTGGCCCACGCATTTCCGTACATATTTCTGGCACAGGATGGATAGAGGAACGCATGGTTTTCTGCCTCACTCTCGTCTACCAAGACCGGCCTGTGGGATTTAAGGAGGCCTTTTGGGGGGATTGGACAAGGCCCGAAGTACCGAGGGGTCTTGATCACGACCACAGGAGCCTTGCGACCCCCGACCTACGAGGCTTGTCAGCAAAGTCAGGCATGAGTGACTCAGAGGGGTAGGAGGGCTCCATTCATAACACTTCATATTATACACTTATCTCTTAAAACCCTTTGTCACTTAAGTATTTGTCCATTAAAGAGTTTCGTCTTCTAGGTGAAAAAGGAATAATTTTTAAAATACAGTTTTTTACACGAGATTATTCACCTAACTTCTGAAACAACATAGTTGAATATTAAAAATAATTGCAGGTCATGAGCATCTTACAATTTTCAATGCATTGACTACTGCATACAAAATGTCAGCAGTGAGTGTCCCTGTTAAGGGTCTGACAGTGAATCCTACCCAGGGATGACATTCATCATCCTCAGGTTTCTCCATCCTAATGGCACCAGATTCGTATCAAAGTCCACCAGTTCTGCCTAGTCTATTTCATCAGCCTTTTCTGCTCCCTCCCACTCAGGTTGGAGTTTGTCCAGCAAAGAGGGTTTAACGAGAGGGAGAATACCATTCTCAGAAGAATTTACCTTAAATTTAATGATCAGGGGACGCTTTTCATGTGCTCTAAGGTAAATTGGCACGGCATCTAGCAGACATTTCAAAACTATTGGTCCCTGTACTTAGTCATTTTTCTTCATTTTTTTCTTAATTTTTTCTTACTTCATGACAAGTCACTTTTAGGATAATCAATAGCCTCCCTACAAATAACAATGGTAAAACTCCAGCAAGGCTTCGATTTTGAAGAAATGTACTAAATGTCATAAATCTTTTTTTCTAAACTTACCTCGGATCCCAGCCATGTACTAGCACTCTTTTTATGGCAGCATAATGTGTATGATTAGTGTTCAGTTAATGGCACACATAGCATAATCAAACTTATTATAATTAATTCCTTAGATAGAGTTTGTTTAAAGTAGGGATAAACCACACAGAAAACATGTCCCTTGTCTGAACATTAATTCTAAACAATAATAATCTAGGCCAAAAATTTTGTGAATTATAGTTGATCAGAATGCCAAATTGATAACCCAGAATTATGATTTGTGATTACAGGCTGTGCTTCCCAAATTTATGCAATTGAAGAAATGAAAGCTTATTAATTACACTATAGCAGCTACCCCAGGCTGCATACAGAGGCACAGATGGCTAATTGGCTTCAGTTGGTAGAGGGTCATTTTAATTCAATTTTCTTTAAATTTTGTTATAAAAAGTTTCAAAGCTATAAAGAATGGTTTGTGATAAATATGACCCTTCACAGATGACCTAGTTTCTATCCCTCTCCCCGCCCTCTCCCCAGGTTTGATAGAGAAAGTGACAACTGAACTATCCACATCCATCTATCAGCTAATTGATATCCATTGCAGCAGCTTCTATGCAGATTTCCAGCCTCTACATGCACCTCTGTATAGAGTCTCCTTTGAAAATCTTGGGGTCCCTTCCCACCTTAGCTTCACAGTGTATGCAGCTCACAATATTCCAGAAACCTGGGTGCACAGGTGAGTAGTGATGCCTTTTCCACAAAAGGGTTAATTAGTTTTGTGTAGCTTCTAGTTGAGTATAATTTGCCTTGTTCTTATTTGCAGAAGCAAGTATTTCATCTTGAAATTTAATCAGCATGGATGTATCCATGTTCTTAAAATCATTCACACTTTTATTTCCAGTCCAGTGCACATTTCTTTTCTCTCAAGTCTTCTCCCATTCTCCTGTTAAAAATAACTGCATGTTGTCAATATATCATAACAGAAACAGAAAATGCCCACCTTCACATAGTGATTGCCCTAAATTTTTCATTTTTTATGTTTGAGTTTAAATGACTGATGCCAATTAACACAGGGTGAGAATGTGCACACACATACAAGGAGTTGGAGAATATTTAAAAATAGAAAGAAATCACTTTGATCCCTATCAAGTTGTGAGTGGTAAATATTTTGTGAGATTAGTACCTTGATAAAGTAAAAATTAGCCAAGAGTTACTTGAGTTACAATAGAAATTAACCACAATTATGCATGGAACATTGCCAGGTTTGAGGTTAATTCTGCTATGTACTATTTTCTTGAGTAACATAATTAGAGTAATATTATAATAATTATTTTAAATTCCTTATGGATTAAATCTGTAAGAGAATACTGATTAAATCAAATTAAAAGTGATAAGAGAATAGTAATTTTCTAATGGATTTATTGCACCCACTGCACTTAGCATCTCAAAGAAAGGCTAAAAGAAACAGTTTTAGTTAAAAGAGAAATAAGTTTTATCTTGGTCTGTATTTTTGCAAATGGAAACTGTGCAAAATTTATGAGTCAATTATAATGAAAATTTTACCTTCTTATGTAAAAAAGAAAAACGACTATCTATGGATCTCACATAAACATTCTTTAAAACCCATGGGATGATTCTTTTACACTTTTTCTCTTTCTTAATTTTATGAAGTATTTTAGGAGGATGATGTATAATGTAACAAACTGCAACTAGAATGTTTTCGTAATTTTTAAACCTTTAGTATATCCTTATTGATTCTAATTCACCTGGAAAAACCATGTAGCCAGATAAATACTGAGAAAGCTATATACATACAGCTTCTATTTATGTATGTGGAAAATTTAGTTTTGTTTATTTTTCTATTGTTTCGCTATTCTATTTTCTTTTGCTTCTAATCTTTATTATTTTCTTTCTTCTTTTAATTTTTATCTTAGTTTGTTCTTTGTTTTCTGGTTCCTTGAATATAGATTTAGATTGTTTATTTGTGAACTTCTTTCATTTTTAATTTTTTAAATCTGTTTTTGAAATTTTTATTGCAGCATAGTTGATTTACAATGTTGTGTTAGTTTCTGCTGTAAAGTGAATCGGTTATACATATACATGTATCTGCTCTTATAGATTCTTTTCCCATAGAGGTGATTAAAGAGTATTGAAAAGACTTCCTGTGCTATATAGTAGGTCCTTACTAGTTATCTACTTTATAAATATATAGTAGTGTATATATATCAGTCCCAATCACCCAATTTATCCCTCCCCTCCCCCACTTCCCTGCCTGGTAACCATGTTTGTTTTCTGCATCTGTGACTCTATTTCTATTTTGTAAATAAGGTCATGTGTGTGTGTTAAGTCGTTTCAGTTGTGCCTGACTCTTTGCAACCCTTTGGACTGTAGCCTGCCAGGCTTCTCTGTCCATGGGATTTTCCAGGCAGTACTGGAGTAGGTTGCCTTGCCCTTCTCCAGGGGATTTTCCCGATGCAAGGATCAAACCCATATCTCTTAACATCTCCTGAACAGGCAGGTGAGCTCTTTACCACTAGTGCCACCTGGAAAGCCCAAATAAGGTCATTTGTACTTTTTTTTAGATTCCACTTATAAGTGATATCACACAATTTTTGTCTTTCTCCATCTAACTTTACTCAGTATGAAAATTTCTAAGTTCATTCATGTTGCTGCAAACGGCATTATTTTATTCTTTTTATGACTGAGTAATATTCCACTGTATACATGTATCACATCGTCTTTATCCATTCCTCCATTGATGGACACTGAGGTTGCTTGCATGTCCTGGCTACTGTAAATAGTGCTGCAATGAATATTGGGATGCATGGTTTTCTCCAGATATATGCCCAGGAATGGGATTGCTGGATCATATGGTAGCTCAATTTTTAGCTTCTTAAGGAACCTACATACTGTTCGCCATAAAGGCAATACCAATTTACGTTCTCACCAACAGTGTAGGAGAGTTCCCTTTCCTCTAGGCCTTCTCTAGCACTTATTGTTTGTAGACTGTCTGATAATGGCCGTTCTGATCAGTGTGAGGTGGTACCTCATTGTAGTTTTTATTTGATCTTTCTTTTTTGAATGTAAGCATTTATTGCTTTAAACTTCTTTTTTAGAACTGATTTTGCTATATCTCATAAGTTTTGTTATGGTATGTGTTTTCATATTTTATGATATTTTCTAATTTCCCTTTTGATTTCCATTTGACCCATTGGCTGTTCCAAAGTACTCATTTCTCACTTATGTAGAGTCTAAAAATCAAAATGAAAACAGACTCTCAGAGAACAACAAGTGGTTGCCAGAAGGAAAGGGGTGGGTTGGGGGTGAAATAGGTGAGGAGGATTAAGTGGCATAAATCTCCAGTTATATAACTAATAACTCACATGGATGTATTAATAATATACAGCATAAGAAACATGAATCAATGATATTTTAATACCTTTTTATGAGGACAGATGGTTACTTAACTTATCATGGTCATCATTTCATAATGTATGCAAACATCAGATCATTATGTAGTACACCTGGAACTAATGTAATATTGTACAATAACTATATTTCAGTAAAATAAAAAAAGAAACAGAAACTAAGAACTGTTAATTAACATTAATTTGAGAATTTTTCCAGTTTTTTTTTCTGCCACTGATTTCTATTTGTATTCCATTGTGGTCGGAAAATATACTTGGTATGATTTCAATTTTTTAAAATTTGTGAAGACTTGTTCCGTGACCAATTTTGTGATCTGTGCTAAAGAAAGATCCAAGCTTGAGAAGAATGCATATTGCCCTGAGGTTAGGTGGAGTGTTCTATAAATGTCTATTAGGTTCATCTGGACTATAATGTTATTAAAACCCTCTGTTTCCTTATTGAGCTTCTGTCTGATTGTTCTATTCCTTGTAACCAGTATTGCGATCTTCTGTTATTATTGTGTTATTTTCTAGTTCTCCTTTTCATCCCTTCAATGTTTGCTTAATATATTTGCTTCAATTTAGGGTGCATGTATATTTACAGTTATTGTATCCTCTTGGTAAATTGACCTCTTTATCATCATATGTTTTTGTCTGTTGTGACAGCTTTAACTTAAAGTCTGTTTTGTCTTGTTTAAGTATGGCCAATCATGCTCTTTTGATTATCATATCTTTTTCTGTCCTTTCACTTTCAGGTGTGTCCTTAAATCTAAAGTATATGCCTTGTAGACAGTATATGGTTGGATCTTGTTTACTAGTCCATTCAGTAATGCTGTTTCTTCTCATTGTAGAATTTAATTTATATCTAATATAATTAATGATAGAGAAGGACTTACTTTTGCCAGTTTTTTGCTTGTTTTCTGTCTTGTAGCATTTTTGTCCCTCTTTTCCTGTCTTGCCGCTTTCCTTTGTGTCCCGATGAGTTTCTATAATGGTACACTTCAATTCCTTTCTTATATTCTTTTGCGTATCATCTATATTGTGGTTGTTTTCTTTGTGGTGACAATGGGCCTTACATAAAACATACTATATTTAAAACACTGATTTATGCTGATAATAACTTCACTTTTTAAAATTTTGTTATAATATCACTTTAGTCATATACAAAAACTCTCCTCTTCTTCCCTCATCATACTTTATGTTACTAATATCACAAATTGCATCTTCTTAAATTTTATATATTGTTATTATTAAAGTTTTCTATACTTTGTCCTTTTAAGTTCTGTAGCAGAGTTAAAAGTTATTCATGTATCACCATTACAGTCTTACAGTATTCTGTATTTGTCTATATGTTTCCCTTTACCAGCAAGCTTTCATACTTTCATATGGTCTCCTGTTGCTATCTAGCATCCTTTCATTTCCACTTGAAGGACTCCCTTTAGCATTTCATGTTGTCAGGTCTAGTGCTGATGAACTCCCTCAGCTTTTTACCTGAGGAAGTATTTATTTCTCCTTCATTTTTGAAGGACAGCTTTGCCAGATACAATATTTTTTTTTCTTTCAGAACTTTGCATATATCATCTCACTCCCTCTGGCCTTCAAGGTGTCTGCTGAGAAATCTGCTGAAAAGCTGATGAGATCCCTTTTATGTGGCAGATCACTTTTCTCTTGCTGCTTTCAAAGTTCTGTCTTTGTACTTGACTTCCAACAGTTTAATTTTAATGTTTTAGTATGGTCTTCCTTGGGCTCATCCTAGTTTAGCCCATTAGGCTTCTTGAAATTGGATGTCCATTTCCTTTCCCACAATTAATAAGTTTTCAGCCATTATTTCTTCAAATCAGCTTTCTGTCTCTTTCTCTCAGTCATCTTCTGGGACTCAAATAATGTGTTTGTTTGTCCTGTTGATTGTGTCCCGTAAGCCCCTTAGACTTTCTCCACTCTTCATTTTTCTTGTTTCTCTGAATAATTTCAAATACCTATGTTTGAGCTCACAGATTTTTTTCTTCTGCCTGATCCATGTGTGTTCTTGAACCCACCTATTGATTTTTTTCAACTCAGTTGTATTCTTCAGCTCCACAATTTCTTCTTAATATTTTTATTATTTTTTAATATTTTTAATATATTTTTTAATATTCTCATTTTATTTATGCATTATTTTTCTGAGCTTATTGAGCATGTGTGTGTATATATATGTATATATTTTATTCTTTGTCAGGTAGTTCATATACTTCCATTTATTTAAGATTGGTTTCTGGAGATTTTTCTTTTAGCATAAACCAACTCTCTACAATTTCGATGTATTCGTAACATTTCATGAAGTTGGTCAATATGGTGATGTAAGAACTTACCCTTTTGTGAGGGAAATAAAAGAGTGTCGGTTCTGTGTCTGCACTTGTTACTTTAATTCATCTATTATGAAGGTCTTTGCTTTCTAGCCCTGGCACCATTTTATGTTAATATGTTTCAAATAAACTTGGCTTTGCAGTGAACAACACGTGACGGTTGTTTGCATTTTCTCTTTGGTTTCTAATTTTGTTCTTTCATTGGGAAACCTGGTAGAGAAAAGACTAGAGGATCTTTGTAATGTCAGTTAGATTCATACAAAATTATTGACTTTGAAGATGGTAAGTTTATCTAGCCTAACCTCATTTTTCATCCTTTCATTCTCAGAAATGATTTAGAAATGCATTTTTACTCTCAGGGCTTCCTTTGTGACTCAGTTGGTAAAGAATCTGCCTGCAATGCGGGAAACCTGGGTTTGATCCCTGGGTTGGGAAGATCCCCTGGGAAGGGAAAGGCTACCCACTCCAGTATTTTGGCCTAGAGAATCCCATGGACCATATAGTCCATGGGGTTGCAAAGAGTCGGACACAACTGAGCAACTTTCATTTCACTTCTGGAGATTTATCTTGTTCCTTTGGTTGGGCCCATGTTTTCCTCTCTCATTGTATACCTTGTTTTACTTTGTACTGAGATTTGAACATTAAAAAAAAAAAAAAAATCAGCTACCTCTCCCAGTCCTTATGGACTGGTTTCATACAAGGAAAGAATTGTTGCTTTGAAAAAAGATGTGTAATGTGAAAGTTGTGAGTTAAGTTTTATTTGGTGCAATATGAGGACTCCAGTCTGTGAGACAGCACCTCAGATAGCTCTGAAAAACGGCCCCAAAGAGGCAGGGGGAAAGGACAGCATATATGTGACTTTGGTGAAGGGGGAGTACATGCAGTCAAGCACAGATTTTTTGTAGAAAGCTTCTGTTGGTCTCGTGAAGCTTCTGCTAGTCACGAGAAATGATCATTTTAGTGCTTTTCTAGATATGAACGATTTTGGTGCTTTTCAAGATATGAGGAGAATCAAGAACAGGGCTCATAAACTCAGTTCCTGAAAATATCTTACTATCTATAAGACCTGTCCTTTCCAGTTTCCAGAAACACAGAGTGCCTCATTCCTGCTCTCTACCCTGAACTCCTTCAAGGGGTATTGGAGATCAGCAACTACAGTAGCATGTGATTCAATCCTTGCAGCGGTGGATGGCAAGCATCCATGGCAAATGCCAATTTGTGGTTGACAGAATGTTACCAATCAGCTAGAGATTTGGGGGTTTTCAAACCTTTCTTGTAGGTGCATCCTCCCTGGATTTGTGTGTCAATTCACACTTAGAGAGGTTTTACTTCTTTTGTCAAGAACTTGAATTTCTTGTTTCATCTAGCATCAGCCTGTGGTCCTTCCTGCTGGTTCTCCATAAGCTGCCCAGCTCTTTTTTGTTCTCAGCTGGGCGCCAGCATTCAGAGTATGCCTGGTCCCATAGATGCTCTGGTGCATGAGACATAAACCAGACCCTCACACAGCCTCTAAAGAAAGCCAAACTGTTGGATGCACACTGCACCCTCCCTGCTCCGCTCTCTTCCTGCCAATTCAGAGATCATCAGATTGCATCAGCCTCTGCCTACCGGTCCTTAGTTTGTGCTAGTTTAGACCACTCACTGCCTTTGTTTTCAGAGGCCCCCAACTTGGCACCGATTCCTGTTCAGCACTCAGATTTAGGCAAGAGAAAAAACAGTCCCTTGGATAAACCGCTAAAAAGTCTGAATGTCAGACATCCAGTCTTCTCTTTCCCACCCCAGGGAGAAGATGGGAGTTGGGAATCTTTTATGGTCACATGACACTCTGCTGGGAGAAAGGGCTCTGCAAGATGAGTGCCATGAATTTTCCTACCGATTTCTTTGTGACTGGTTTTGCACTTGGGTGCAAGAGCCTTTTAACTTGTTTCTGGATTTCTTGCAAAGAAAACTGATCCATGTATTGTTGTTGAATTGGTGTCTCCAGCAGGGGAAAGAGGGTCTCGGACTTCCCATTATTCTGCAATTTTGCTGAAGCCACCAAACATAAATTCTTAGTAATTTTTAAAGTACACTCTGTACAAGCAAACAACACTTTATCATTTGACTTTTAACTATAAAATAATTGATCCATATAGAAAACTGCTTCCTTCATAGTGTTCAACTTACTAAATCAATGTTGTTTGTTTTTAGCTATAAAGCATTTTCTTTCTCCTGTTGGCTTACATATGCTGGAAAGAAGCTGTGCCAAGTGAGAAACTGCAGAAATATTCCCGTCAAAAAGTTGTTTTTTTTCATGGTCAACTGGAATGAAACGTAAGTTTAATCTTTATTCTAGAAGGATTATTTGTCCAATAAAGACCAGGGTTCCTTCCACCTGCCCTCTCCCCTGCTGCTTTCTAAGTGAAAGATATAATTTTTTTTAATGTAGCTGGTTGATTTGATTCAGAGATGTGGTAAATATGCTAAGCATACTAGGTAACTAATTTCAATTCAACAGATTAAAGGTCCCTTTAAAAATCTAGATAAATAGCCAATCTATATTATTGAACTTCTCAAAGAGGGAAATTGGGGAAAGGAGAATTATTAATCATTTGTAGACTTTGGATAAAAGGAATACCCTCTATTGGGTATTGGAGGAAGATGGATTTCAGTTATAACAAAGAAGATGTCACTTAATGACATATGTAATCTCTTTTCTCCCAAAAGCCAATTGCAAATTTATTTAAGCAATCAAGTTTTTGTACAGTAACTATCTATGCATTGTGTAAAATGTCATCTAATTTGGGATAATCAACTCCTACCAAGACCTTTATTTATTTATTTATTTATTTATTTATTTTTCAAATTTTATCCCTAACAGCTAAAGCAGCACCAGACACAGTAAGAGTCCAGTAAATGTAGCTTGGCAAGTGAATGCTTTTTATGTAATAAGTGACTCCTCAAAAATATATTAACCAACTCAGTTACTAGAATTAGGACACCCTGGTCCGATTCCTGGGTCAAGAAGATCCCCTGGAGAAGGGAAAGGCTACCCACTCCAGTATTCTGACATGGAGAATTCCATGGACTGTATAGTTCATGAGGTCACAAAGTGTCAGACATGAATGAGTGACTTTCACTTGACTTTTCACTTTTCTTCTGACTTAATTAAAGCTTATCCATGGTTGTTTTCAACTGACAAATATGTGCCATCATTTAAACAATTCAAGAGAAAAATTTCCTAATTCTAAAATCAATTTCAGAGAAAAAAAATCTCAAAAGAAATTGAAATTATTAGTATTAGTGGAATAACTACATTGGTATACTTTTCTTCTTGTCCTTCAAGAGTGCATAAGTGTTATCTTTCCTGTGGAGTTTCTCTGATTCCCCCAAGAGTTAGTTACTTTAACCAGAATTCTTTTCTTTCTTTTTTATTTGTCCTTCAAATCTTTTTATCTTTTTTCATACTTTAAACTTTTTATTTTGTATTGGAATATAGGCAATTCATGATGTTGTGGTAGTTACAGATGAATGGTGAAGTGATTCTGCCATACATATATATGTATCCATTCTCCCCTAAACTAACCCCCCATCCAAGCTAGCACATAACATTGAGTAGAGTTCTATGTGCTATACAATAGGTCCTTGTTGGTTATCCATTTTGAATATAGTAGTGTGTATCTTAATTCTTCTCATTTTATTTCATTAAAAATATATTTATTTACCATTTTTCTAGGTGCCTGGCCTGTAGCATCCTTTATATATTTTATTGACATATACCCATTACAATACAATTAATTGCATGTTTTATTACTAGACTGTAAATTTGAGGACATAAACTTTATTTAATAATAATATGTGACATAGATTTTGACTGCTTATTACATTCCAGTCATCAGAGTTTACCCCCAAACATATTATCTCATCTAAACTTAATAACAAAAATACATAGAGATATTTTCATCTCCATTTTTCAGATCAGAATATTGACGTTTATGAAGCTTAATTAACTTGGCCCTGGTCCCACAACCAGCAAAAGGCAGAATTAGTGCTCAGATACACTCTGACTCCAAAGCTGAGGTTTTTACTGTGATTTTTCATACTTTCTTACAACATATAAAATCTTAGGCTGAATATTTATATTCTGCAAATAGTTCTTAAACTTAAAAAAAAAAAAACAAACAAACTCTGCTGTATTGTTTCAACAGCAGCTATGCTATTTTTCTCTCTACATTACAGCAAAACCCTTCCAGAGTTGTCTGTATTCACTTTCTTCGGCTCTTTCCCCTGCTCTAAAACATACTCCAGTCAGGCTTTCATTATCTCTTTTCCACTGAAATTGATTGTTAAAGTCACCAGTGACCTGCAGAGCTGAATCTGATGTTTGTCTTCATCTTACATAATCTATTAGGAGCTGTTTCCCACATTCTTTTAGCTTTCCGCCTACCTTACTGGGCATTCCTTCTCCGTATCCTTTTGTTCTCCCACACTGCTCATAGTCTTAGCCCTTAAGTTCTGGGGTCCAGCCTCAGCAGGGTCCAGGGGTACCCTCAGGATGAACGGCGTCGGCGAGAAAGAGAGAGAGACCAGACTGGGGGTGTGTAGTCGAGTCTGGCAAATCTTTATTTTTTTACCGTAGCTTTTATATTCTAAGTTAGTACATTTTTTAAGGGGAAGATAGTTTAATATTACATCAGCTTGTCCTTCACGAAACCAGGGTGTTTCCTGCAACTTCTTTGTGAGAGTCTTATACATTATCTTCTGGCCTCGGGGCCTATTGACATCTTATGACCTAGGTGAATGCAAAGCTGTTTTCCTATAATCTATTCTTTAATGAACACAAAGGTTAGTCCTTTTGCAGAAGTTATTAGTTGAATTTATCTAAAAGGTTTACAACACAAAGACTCTGCAGCTCCGGTGAGGCAGCCCCTGTTTAGCATTCCTGGTTAAAATGAACAATTCTAACCACTTTTAAAATAATATTTTTGTGTTACATTAATACGCATTTGCCAAGCAGGCTAGAATGCCAGCAAAGGGTTCTAAATCGAAACACTCCTTTCATCCTGGATAATCTTTTAGGATACCACCGTCCGGGGGACATGTTGATTAAAGTTCTAAGTTGATTCTGTTTGGAGAGAGATCGGGGAGGACCTTCTACCTGTGTCCAGAAATTAGGGAGTAGTCTAATACAGCAAGCATCAGAAAGACAGAGATCATCTTTAAGGTGAGCGCCAGGGCAGCTTTTCGAAATTCCTGAAGTCCTGATCTGCCTTGCTTGTCAGGTCTTCTTCTCATGACCTTGTCATGGGTGGGATCTCGTGTGCTGGCTCCCGGCACTTAAGCTTCCTCTGTTGTAGCTATATTTATAACCTTAGTTTTCTCTTATAGTCACATAGCATTAAATCCATCTGTATGCCAGCAACTCCCAAATTTATATCACCAACCCAGGCATCAGTCACAAACTCCGTACTTATTCACTCAACATGTCTAAAACTAAGCTCTTGATCTTACACTCCAAATTTGTCCTACCTATGGATGGCCACCCTGCATGATCATTTCCAGTTTTGGTTGTTTAGATCAGATCCTTAGCCTGAGTTTCCTTCTCTCAGACCCATTTCTCAGATATCCTACTGGCTCTCTCCTCAGAATATTTCCAGAGTGTTATTTCTTGTCACTTTCATTTGTATAGGCCACCATCATATCTCCCCTGTATTCCTACAACTGCCTTGTGATAGTCACCTTACTTCTCTTCCGCCTTTATAATCCTTCTCATACAACAGCTCAAGTAACCTCTTTTTTAAAATGTAAATCAGGCTACATCACTGTGCTGTTTTATGATCCTGAAATGGCTCCCTCTTTCACTCAGACAAAAGTCAAAGTCCTTACAATGGTCCATTATTTTATATCAGTATTAATAGGGGAATTCTATACAGTGTGACTTTTTAAATCTCCCAATTTCACTATCAAAAAGTTATTCTGATTTTAGAAAAACTGTCTTATATAGAAGTAAAGAATGTTTAAGAAAAATTTTAGTTTTTAGTCATTTTTAAATAGTAGAGTAAGGCAAGCATATGGTTAAAATTTGAAGTTTGTAGATATAGAGAAGCAATCTTACTTCACTTATTGAATTATCTCAAAGTATTTTTCTTCCTTTTTTGTGTAAAGTTCATTCCTTTGATTTTTCAATAGCTGTGTAGAAGTTAATAGAAAAGATTTCTCAGTGACTATGAGATTATTCTGGCTTAAAAATCCATATGTATTCAAGAAAATGAATAAATAACTATAAAGTATGTATTCTTACTCTTTAAGAATTTATTTTTATTAATAAAAATGACAAAATAGAGATAGGCAGTAACTATCCACTGTAACTTATCGAATGTTTTGTCATTCTTGATTTGAAAAGCTCACTAATAAGTGAAGTTACACATGAAGAAGAGAGACTCAATGGGAAAAAGAACATTCCAGATTATGTGAGAAAGTGAAATTATAGCTTCCATCCTAACACAAAATTATGAAAACTAAATAGAAATTCAATTACAGGTAAAAGAGAATATTCAAGAAACTTCAAGAAAATTTTGCATTTCACAAAATCATCAACATTTTATGTTGAGTTTCAAAGCTTCTTTTTAAGCTAAGAAATATGTCCACATTACATTGAATAAATATTATAACTGTGAAATAATATGAAAGATAAGAACAAGTTTTAGATAACTAAATGTGTGATAATTTAATTTTCAATAGTCTAAATTTCTGCTAATAATGAAAAATAAATTTTCTTTAGCCTTTGCTTTGTTTTCTCTCCTTCCTTTTTTAAAAACTTTGTTTATTGGAGGATAATTACTTTATAATATTTTGTTGGTTTCTGCCATATATCAACATGAGTCAGCCGTAAGTATATGTATGTCCCCTCCCTTACTTTTAACTAGAATTATATTTCATCTGTTTTACAGTGGCTAATATAAGTTATTACATTGTTGATGGAATAATGAATATACTGCTTATATACAATCTACTATTTATCACATATTGTGTTATGTAATATTTTTTCCCCTTTATAGATAAACAAGGCTTAAAAAGGTTAAATTCATCACTCAAAGAAGAACATCTGTTTAGTCAGAGGGCCAACATTTGAATCAAAACCTTTGATTAATCTCCACACACAGTTTACATATTGATGTCTCTGAGTTATTATTAACTCAATGACAGTATGCCATAAGCCACATATAAATCACCTATCCCAAATTCCTTATCTGTGTTTTCTATTAATTAAAATTCATCTTCAATTCGTCATTGTCCTATTCCACTAATATGCTGTCAGTCAATTATTAGTTATGTATTTTACCTCTAAAATAGCTCTTCTGTCTTTCCTCTTGTTTGATGGCTTTTTTGCACCTGGATCTGGACCTCTCCATCTCAGAGAATAGCATGTTGAGGGGAAAGATGTGTATTTCCTCAGAAGCAGTTATGGTCACTGGTCTGAATTAACTGCTCCTTATTCCTCAGGCTGAATGCTGCCTGTTGTTGTTGTGTAGTCGCTAAGTTGTGTCTGACTCTTGCAACCCCATGGACTGCAGCACACCAAGCTCCTCTGTCCTCTACTATCTCCCAGTGGCGATTTAGTCGCTAAGTCGTGTCTGACTCTTGCAACCCCATGGACTGCAGCACACCAAGCTCCTCTGTCCTCTTCTATCTCCCGGTGGTGATTAGTCGCTAAGTTGTGTCTGACTCTTGCAACCCCATGGACTGCAGCACACCAAGCTCCTCTGTCCTCTACTATCTCCCGGTGGTGATTAGTCGCTAAGTTGTGTCTGACTCTTGCAACCCCATGGACTGCAGCACACCAAGCTCCTCTGTCCTCTACTATCTCCCGGTGGTGATTTAGTCACTAAGTTGTGTCTGACTCTTGCAACCCCATGGACTGTAGCCCATCAGGATCCTCTGTCCATAGGATTTCCCAGGCTCCTGGAGCTTGCTCAAATTCATGTCCATTGAGTCAGTGATGCTATCCAACCCTCTCATCATCAGCCACCTTCTTCCCCCTTTGCCTTCAGTCTTTCCCAGCATCAGGGTCTTTTCCAGTGAGTCAGCTCTTCACATCAGGTGGCCAAAGTTTTGGGGCCTCAGCTTCAGCAACAGTCCTTCCAGTGAATAGTCAGGCTTAATTTCCTTTGGGATTGACTGGTTTGATGCCCTTGCTATCCAAGAGACTCTTAAGAGTCTTCTCCAGCACCATGATTTGAAAGCATCCATTTTTCAGCATTCAGCCTTTTTCATAGTCCAACTCTCATATGCTTCCTGAGTGAGTGAGTGAAAGTCGTTCAGTCGTGTCCAACTCTTTGCAACCTCTGTCCATGGGATTCTCCAGGCAAGAATACTGGAGTGGGTAGCTGTTTCCTTCTCCACACATGCTTCCTAGCCACCCATAAATCTATTTCTCCTAAACACTGTATTTCTCTTGAGACTCTTGTATCATTTCTATGTAGCCAAGATGACTCCTGAAAGGAAAGAAAGATACCCTTCTTCCTGTCCTCCATTAGGAACCTCAGATCTCTCAATTTCCTGTCAAAAGCTCTTTCTTCTTAGATGCTTCGACCACCCAGGTATATTCCTCCCAGTCTTAAAGTATCTTTATATTTTCTAGGCAATCTCATATATATATTAATGGATTTGATGCCCAAATTCAAATTTTTTCCACCTTTAAAAACCTTATGCTTATTCTTAGCCACTTTTTTTACCCATATCTACAATCCATCCAGGGTCTGAGTTTGATGTTCTTCACCTTGACATATCCAGGAATTGTACTGTCTATTACATCTCAGCAATCAGCCCCCAATTTCCTGGAATCTCATCATCACCCAGAATAGTTCACATTTAAAATTATAAACTACTCTCTATGCTTTTAGCTCTCTCATTTAAACGTTTCCTTTTGCCATTAGGAAAAAAATAACAAATTCCTTTGCCTGGCATACAGAGTTCTTAAATATTCTGGCAACCACCTATCTTTCTAATTGCATCCTTCATAACTTTCAGGTTAAGACCAACTTGACTATGTTTCTTGTTCTAGCTACAATGCACCACTGACCATTCCTCAGCTCCATGTGTATATGCCTTTGTCTGTGCACTTTTTTCTTTTTTGGAATATTCTTTTCCAACTATTCACCTGGTTGTAGCCAACCTACTCTTTAAGACCCATTATGAGTTATTTCCTGCCCTCCCCCCATTCCCTAAGACAATGTTAATCACACTTTCTTGACGCTGAAGTTTTTGTATTTTCAAAAAATAAGTTTATGTGTCAAAATCATAACAATCACCATAATCAATCTCATTACTCTAGTACTTCTGCTATATTTCTGTATTTATAAGATAAAACATTAAAACTTAAGAGAATGTCTCAATTCAAATAGTTGAAATGCTTGTGTTACACAGCACTGTATTAGAAGGAAAACTTTATGAAAACATCATTGAAATTGGGTCCTAGTGTCCTAGAGTTGTTGGGAGTATTAATGAGATCAAGGGTAACAGTGCTTAACACACTTAGTGGTGTCTGACCCTTTGTGACCCCATGGTCTGTCCATGGAGTTCTCTAGACAAGAATACTGGGTGGATTGCCATTCCTTCTCCAGAGAATATTCCTGACCCAGGAATCAAACCAGGGTCTCCTGCATTGCAGGTAATTTTTTTTTTTTTTACCATCTGAGCTACCAGGAAAGCCCAACCTAATTTTTTCTTTTATTTTAAGGATCAATTTTCCTCTTGAAATAAAATCACTTCCAAGGGAATCCATGCTCACTATAAAATTGTTTGGGATTACCTATGCAACCAATGCAGATTTATTGGCCTGGACTTGTTTTCCACTGTTTCCAAAACAGTAAGTATATCATTTGTGATTAACAAAACTTCCATCTCAATAAAACCTCCTTGGACCTAGATAATGTTCAGTATATGGCATAATGAGAAAATCAAGAAGACATTTTATTCTAAAACTGAGCTACCTCAATATAAATCATGACTGTTGAAAGCAGGACTGAAAAGCAAAATGTAGAAATGGCTTTAGAAACAAGCTTCATGCTCAGTTTGTCAACTGGGTCATTTACCATGAAAAGGTATCGGCATGACCAATCTCAATTTCTTTTCCTTCTCTGACCAGCCAGTTTCTCTGGAATTACTAATACAAAATGATTTAGATCAGTACTGTCATTTAGCAACAATGTAAGTCATGAAATTCTGGCTGAAGTAAAATTATTCAATGTAATTGGTTTACTGACCTTTTATTGCCGAGAAAAAATACATGTCAACTTCAAGATGATATTTTTCAGAAAAGTAAGCCAAATAGGAGTTCTGTGAGAACTAGTTGCCACTGAAAAAGTAGCTGTCAATTTAACCATAAGGATTTGGAATTATTAATACTTAGAATATTTGAGAAAGTCGGTAATGTGATTTTCTGTGTCATTAAAGAAAAATATTTTAAAACATCTTAGTTATTCTCCCTTGACAAAACTTGCTTTAGAATCAAACTGTTTAAAAAAAAGGGGGGGGGGGACTTTTGAAGAATTAGAACCTGTGTTGTTATTTTAATATTATTATAAAGAGTGTTTCTGCCTCTGCTCTTTTAGAAAGATTTGGTAAAATAAAAATGTTAACAAAATTCTTCATCAGGTTTTAGTTCCCACTTTTAGTCAGTATAAATAAAATATCATCAAAGCAACTGTGATATGTATTTTGGTTTTGTTTGCTTGTATGTTTTGCTTTTGACCACACCTTGTGGCATGTGGGATCTTAGTTCCCCAACCAGGGATCGAACTCGTGCCCCTTGCAGTAGAAGCACAAGTCTTAACCACTGGGTCTATAGGAAAGTCCTCTGTAATACATTTTAAAGATAATTTCTATTGGATTAATTATGACATGGTGTGCATGTTTGTGTGTGTATATTTGTTGCTCTTTTATTTATTTTCATGTTATAGCCAGTTTCCACATGTGTGAGCACAGGGAATGTATTTTCTTTGTAATTTCTGTCATCTAATATGGTACCTCTTATAAATAGGCAATCAGTACAGGTTTGTTTATTAAACTGAATTGGAAGAAAATCAATCTCTATAGGAGATTTAGAATGAAATAAGATCTCAAAAGTCTATCAGAAACAGTTCAACCCTAACAGGAATACCAACTGCTGTTAGCAGATATTTCAAAAATCTGATTTGTGGGCTAAGAACTTTCATTACTTTCTCACTGGGAGCAGCTGCACAGGTGCCTTTCCTTCTCCTGAGTGAGTTTCTTTAAAGTTTCATCTGCAGTATTTGTAAGATCTAAAATGTTTGTAGAATACATTTGTAGCTATTCACTGAAAAAAAAAAATCCATTTTATTACCTCTAACACACTATTTTGTACATAGCAGGTAATAAAAAACTTGTTAAATATATTAAAGATCTGGAATGTTTTTTGTCTTTCAAACTAATCTTCAAGGCTTTTTTCTACATGCTTATTGTGACAGTAAAATGCTGCCTCCATGTTGTTTTGTCATCTGTCACTTAACCTTTGGTAGGCATTTTAGAGGCAAGTGATTAGAGACAATGGGTATCTTTTAAGGAATGCCATCTAGGACTGATATTAAGTGCTTTTCCTAAGGAAAAATGGCAAAATTGTGGATGCTGAGACATCACAGAAACACAACTTACTTCAAAGAGGATGTCAGTACGCATTTGTGGAAGAGTTTCCGAAAGATCATTTCTTATGAAAATCAGAAAATCTGCTCTCTCCTGGGCTAAACAACGTAAAGAAATTTAGATCTTTTTAAGACATCAGAAATCCATCACGTGGCCAGTTGGGGAGATGTAATAACTCCCATTGTGTTCATTGCTTTGAGTTACAGAGATTCTAACCCAATTTATGTAATGCAGGTTTTCCAAGATCACATCAAATAAGTCACTTAATTTCATTTCCTTTCATGGGATGACCCCTGCCCATAAACATTTGGTATCAGTTCTGTCATTTATTTCAGTTCAAATTGCTCATACCTAGTCATGTGGAGCTGTAATGAACATTTATGTCTTTATTTTTTCCAAGATACACACGACTTGAAAATATGTGGACTTAAGGGCTTTCTGTCTCTTTGTGGTTTCCAGAGGTGGGTTTCAGAAGAACCAACCAAGATTAAACTCACATGTACTGGTTATGGCTGCATCAAGAGTGTGCACAAATAAAAATGAAGTTCAACATTTTCAAGCACACAAACTCACTTTCAATTCTTTTAAAAAGACATGTGTCAAGAACAAAGGTAAAATGTTGACCACAAAAGTTTTATAATCCTCTCCTTTGCAGACAGGGCTTATACCACATCTGTATTCACAATGCCTCCACTGCAGTAAGACAGGGTTATTCTCACCTTAGTCATTTCTATGAGCTACCTTCCCTACTTAAATTCAAAACAAATAGTGTGGTCCTTACTTAGCATTTCTAAACTGCAGTAAACTCCTTCAATGCAGAGATGCTCAACCCTGACTGAACAATAGAATCTCCTGGGGAGATTTAAAACTAACCCAAAACCCAAGTTCTCCCAAAGATTTTTAATTTAATTGGCCTGTGAAGAAGCCCAGGCATCAGTAGTTCCAGAGTTCCTGAGATGAGTTAAAATGCAAGAAAATGAGAATTTCTTTTGTAGAATTTAAAAAGAAGCCTAAGTAAATCATAATACAATTTTATTCCTGAGACTGTTGTCTCAGGAGCCAACCCTGACCCCACTATGTATTGTCATTTCAGATATACCCTTAAAATCAAATAATAAAAACAAGTTGTAGATAAAAATGCCTTATCATTCTTCCACCCTATAGGATAAAGACTCTCAGAGCTCAATTCAAATATTTTATTTATACATGAAGATCTTTATCATGAAAGAAGGTTAAGGGACTGGCTAGAGGTCACTGGGCTATTTAGGAATAGAATGAGAACCAGAATGGAGGGTTGACTTCTGTCCACACATCTTCCTACTTCAAGCTGCCTCCCTTCCTGCCCTTAGATGCCACGCCCTGCTTCATGAATGAGCTGTGGAAACCTCACCAGCACAGGAGGGGATCTTGTCTCTCTTCCTGTCCATGAAACCTGTTAGATCTTGAGAGTCAGAGTCTCAAAGAGTTTTATAAGATCAGATCTTCTGAAAGTACTGGCTCCAGAATGCCAAACCATGGATGCATAGAATCCTATACTTAAAAATGAGAGTAATTAATTTATTCTAAACATGCTTTTTAATTGTCTGAGGAAACAGGGGGCCAGAGAGGGCCAACTAGCCCATCTATTCTCCCGGTGCTACAGATTTTCATTTGGTTTATCCAGGCATAGGAATTTGTACAATATTGAAATTTAAAGGACCCTTAAGTATAGAAATGGTATGGCCTTAACAGGTAAAGGAGCAGAAATGATGTGGACCTAACGGAAGCAGAAGATACTAAAAAGAGGTGGTGACAATACACAGAAGAACTGTATAAAAAAGACCTTCATGACCCAGATACCCACGATGGTGTGATCACTCACCTAGAGCTAGACATCCTGGAATGTGAATCAAGTGGGCCTTAGGAAGCATCACTATGAACAAAGCTGGTGGAAGTGGTGGAATTCCAGTTGAACTATTTCAAATCCTAAAAGATGATGCTGTGGAAGTGCTGCACTCAATATACAGGCAAATTTGGAAAACTTAGCAGTGGCCAGAAGACTGGAAAAGATCAGTTTTCATTCTAATACCAAAAAAAGGCAATGCCAAAGAATGCTCAAACTACCACACAATTGCACTCATCTCACACACTAGCAAAGTAATGTTTAAAATTCTCCAAGCCAGGCTTCAACAGTACATGAACTGAGAACTTCCAGATGTTCAAGCTGGATTTAGAAAAGGCAGAGGAACCAGAGATCAAATTGCCAACATTTGTTGGATCATTGAAAAAGCAAGAAAGTTCCAGAAAAACATCTACTTCTACTTTAGTGACTATGCCAAAGTCTTTGANGATATTGGAGAAGACTCTTGAGAATCCCTTGGACTTCAAGGAGATCCAACCAGTCCATCCTAAAGGAATTCAGTCCTGAATATTCATTGGAAGGACTGATGCTGAAGCTGAAACGCCCATCCTTTGGCCACCTGATGAGAAGAACTAAGTAATCGGAAAAGACCCTGATGCTGGGAACGGTTGAAGGTGGGAGGGGAAGGGGACAACAGAGGACAAGATGGTTGGATGGCATCACCAACTTGATGGACATGAGTTTGAGTAAGCTCCAGAAGTTGGTGATGGATAGGGAAGCCTGGCATGCTGCAATGCTTGGGGTCACAGAATCAGAAACAACTGAGTGACTGAACTGGACTAAACTAAGGATAGAAATGTTATTTATCTGCATAGTCCTTTGCTAATGACATCTTATTCAAAATCTCCACATATAAGATCAATGAACAGTCCATATACATGTTGATGGAGTGGGCAGGGTGGCATTTGAAATTCTAGATTCCTATCTCTTTGCCAGGGCTTCCCTGGTGGCTCAGTGGTAAAGAATCTACCTGCCAATGCAGGAGACATGGATTCAATCCCTGGTTCAGGAAGATCCCCTGGAGGAGGAAATGGCAACCCACTCCAGTACTCTTGTCTGGGAAATCCTATGGATAGAGGAACCTGGCAGGCTACAGTGCATAGGATAGCAAAGAGCCAGACATGACTTAACAACTGAGCAACAATTTGCCATCACCTCAGCACCTTTCTGCTTCCCTGGCGGCTCAGATGGTAAAGAATCCCCCTGCAATGCGGGAGACCTGAGTTCGATCCCTGGGTTGGGAAAATCCCCTAGAGGAGGGCATGGCAACTCACTCCAGTATTCTTGCCTGGAGAATCCCCATGGACAGAGGAGCCTGGTGGGTTATAGACCATGGGGTAGCAAGGCCACTCAGACATGACTAAGTGACTAAGAACAGCACAGCACAACATCACCTTTCTAAAATCTACTCCCCCAAACACAAGGCCACATGAAGACAGATATAAAACTCACAAACTACTGATTTTGTGTCAGAAGCTCGAAGAAATTAAGCAAATTAAGGCTTGCTAATGAAGACAGGATACAGATGTCCTGGTATAAATCTGGTGCTCTTTCCACGATTATGAAACTGTTTCTGGTATGTTTTGCTTTCATCATGTTTTTGTTTTGTTTGCTTAATTTTAACTGACTTCATAAACCTTTGCATGGCATTGTAATGTAAAACCTACTGGTGAATCCCACCAATTTGGATATTAAAATTTTCCATTTTCATCCTTTTTTTCTGAGACCACCAACACTAAGATGCCTTCTTTAAATCCCTTGATTCCACTGATCATCTTCCTCATGCTCATATTTTCTAGTCACAGAAGTCTATGGAAATGTAGTCTTTCAGTCATGCCTACAGTATTGAAAAAGGGCCCTTGTCAGAGTATAAATTAGGTAATTTCCTGCCCACAGAGAACCCAAAGAATGGTGCCAAACACCCTTTCCCCCAGAATTGTCTTAAAGTATGTATTGTATTAACCTTAACTGGACAACTAGAAGTTCATTCTCTCTATGTCCTATCTCTTGATACATCCTTTCATACGTATACTTGAATCAAGTGTTCTGACTTCACTGTGCCCATACAACTCAGGGTTAAGGCCAGGGTGACTATTGAACCAGACTCCATCTGAGGAGACAAATGACAGATAACTCACAGTTATTCTTGAGTCTCTTCATTATTTGTGGGAATCAGCTTAGATCACTCAGATTTTCAGAGTGAAATATGGCCAAGATGTCTAAATATAGTAGGGCCATAAATATAGCTCACTACACAACTTAGATGTGAAGAAAAAGTGCAATTAATATATCACATTTTTCCTCATGAGCTCCCACCCTGTATAAGGAGGAGGACAAACTTTCCATTGATTACTAAAAAATTAGCCAATTTGATCATCTAAATAGGTCTTTTTGGAATTTTGCAGCCTCCTTTGGATAAAATGCTCAATCACTCAGCTTTCTGACACCCTAAGTCTTTAAGAGGACAGTTGTTTGGTCACTGAGTTGTGTCTAACTTTTGCTAGCCCAAAGACTAGTCTGCCAGGCTCCTCTGTCTGTTGGATTCACCAGGCTCCTCTGTCTGTGGGATTCTCCAGGCAAGAATACTGAAGTGGGTTGCCAGTTCTTTCTCCAGGGGATCTTCCCGACCCAGGGATAGAACCCACATCTCCTGCTTTGACAGGTGGATTCTTTACCACTGCGCCACCTGGGAAATCTGGATACAAAGGATCAGAAAAGAAACAGATTATTTGGCCCAGTGACATATGATATCCAAATCAAAAGCATTTTTAAGCTGGTGGTTGTTTGTTCCATCTATTGTAGCCTGTGATTGGCACCCTCCCAACTTTTCTAGGGCTAACTGACACTTCCAGGGTGTCCAGGGCTCTGGCAGGCACCATAGACCCACACAGGACTCCGAGCTGACCTCAGCTCAGATGGTCTAACCAGATGCCCTTATTGTAGAGGCCCTTTATCCCCACCACCTGACTCCCTTTATGGAAACGTTCTCACACAGGCATCTTCAGCTCTGTCTAGATTCCATCTCTTCTGTAAAGAAACCAAAAACCCAATAAAGCTGAACATGAGTTCCTTTGGCCTGTGTATTATGTGGCCCCATGTTGAAGGTCACTCTTCAAGTCTGTACAGGATCAGCTCAAGAAGTGATTTTCTTCTCAGATCTGAAGTGCAGAGCATAAAATGGAGCCCCTTCTGCCTTCAGCATTAGGCTGTGCTCACGTACTTAACACTCCTCCCCATCTGCCTTCCTATGGGCAGAAGAGGGGAACTTGGGATACCATGATCACACTGTCCCCTCTTTCTCTGTCTTCTGCTTCCCACCAACTCAAATTGCCAGGAAGTGGTAGCTTTTTCTTTTGCCACATTCTCCTTCCAGTATGCCACATCCACCTTCCGACACTCCTGTTTACTCTACCACGGATAGGCATATTTTCTGTAAATACTGTGGAGGACATTAACATCTGAGCCCTCCAAGCTCAGTTATAGCACTCTTCTCCTGCAATCTGGCTGAAACTAATCCAAAAGTTTTCCCAAGAAGATGGATGCTTCAGACCATTTGGGGCAAGGTTATATACTCTGAAAGGTAAAAGAGAAAACCACAGTAATAATTTTCTAATCTTTATCTCCATTGAGTTAACTTTTAGCTTGTTAATATACTGTAGGCTTCCCGGGTCACTCAGACAGTAAAGAATCTGCCTGCAATTCTGGAGACCCAGGTTCCATCTTTGTGTCAAGAAGATCCCCTGGGGAAAGGAATGGCTATCCATGCCTGGAGAACTCCATGGACAGAGGAGCCTGGTGGGCTACAGTCCATGGGGTGACATAGAGTCAGATGCGACTGAGCAGCTAACGCTTTGACACTACTTTTGCTAATGCTAGTATTGGCTAATACTGGTCCCTGGTATTGTTATACCAAAAAACAAACAAACAAAAAAACAAAACTCAAGTTTTGTGAGGTGAGGATAGAAGAAAGGGATAAAAATGACTCAAAATTCATCCTTCTAAAAGAATATTCTTGGGTTATATAAAAATATCTGCATAGTAGTGATTAAAATTATACTCCCCTGTATACTTTCTAATATTATCTTTTAATATGAAAGCTAAAGAAACCAAGCCTCAAGAAGCTAAGGGTTTAGAAAACTTTATTTGGATTTTTTTCCTCTTACTTTGCATATTTGTCCATTAAATGGCAAGGTAGAATTCTATGTTATTTTCCAAAGACTTGCTTAATGAATTAAAATTCTGTATAAACTTTAATCTTGTTGACTTTAAGTTCTACAGTTTTAATTTGGTATGTTAATCAAAGACTGTTCCCAGTGATCAGTAGAACATTTTAACCAATAATCGTATTCATATATACAAGCCAGGTATAGCTTGTTTTTTAATTCCTATAAGCCTCTGTGAATTTGGATGTTATTGAAGCTGTTAAAACTATCCATGAATTCTTCCTGTCTAAAGTCTTTCCTGTATTCACTCTCATTTACTATGGTAATTTACAACATAGGTTTAAATATTCAGAATATGAATAATCTTTCTATTTATGTATAAAGAACCACTTCCTCCATGAAGTCCCACAACTACTTTGATCTGCAAATCATATGCTAATTTAAATCTTTTCTTTCTATAAATTTAGAGCTCTTATCTTTAAAGATTCCCAGGGAATTTAGTCACCCTATGAAGCAAAAAAATATTCTTAAAAGTTATTAACATCTTTATTGATTTAAGGCAGTCATAACTCCAAGAATATAAACTTGAGATTCTTAGTCCCATCTTGTAATAAGCATTGTTGGAAATTAAGAGTAAATGCTACCTGTTAGAAACCATTGTGGAAACAGTTTTCTCTTGTGGAAAATAAATGTAGGCATCTACAGACATAGCCATGCATGTGGTATTATTAAAAATGAACCATTCCTCAGTATCTAGACTTGTGGAATATCCTATTTCTCTTTTAACTACTGAGTAAAGCTACTGAAGCTAATTGTGTTTACATGTATTTTTTAATTTATAAGCTTCCCTCTTGAAATGACTTCTTTCTGTCCATATGTGTTGTCTTTTGCAGCAGATCCATTCTCGGGTCTGTGCTATTCAGCATGACATTACAAAGTGAGCCTCCCATGGAAATGATCGCTCCAGGAGTGTGGGATGTAAGTCAGCCGTCCCCAGTGACCCTGCAGGTAAGTGTCAGGTGATGAGATTAAAGTATACACAGCAAGGATTACTTGATAAATAGCTTGTTGTCAATTACAGAAACAATATTCTTCCAGGATCACACATTTTAATAGTCTTCTCTTTCTCCAGCCTGCTGGGATCTGTAAAACCTCAATTGCTTTTATTTTGCATTCCGTGTTCTCAAAGCACTTTTCTCCCAGTTTATATAATAGTAATTTCAAGCCATTCTCCATCCAGCACAATCAGGAAGGAAAGGAATGGACTGTTGCCATGAGTCTACTCATTATACATATTCATTTTTCTTTCCATTGTCTAAAAACAGTCATTAGTATATATTATTAACTTGGTACCTTATTCACACCTACCTCTTCATTATGTCATATTGCCTTAAAATCTCTTTTATTATACGTTTTCTAAATGATTAGCCATTAAGCTGAATAGTAGGGGGAGAAACAGCAAACCAAATCCTTCCTTTTTCCTTAAAGGCTCTCTTCTTTCTGTGATTTGTAATCATGAATGAAAGGTGATTACTGATTTTGGGCTTTCATCCTTTCTGCTCAGAGGATTTTTTTTTTTTCCATTTTCCTCACTTTTTTCATGCTATTAAGTGATCAGTTTCATCAGATACCTGAAGCCCAACCGCTCCCATACATGCGAATGCAGGGAATACGGACTCTCCATCTGTGTGAGAAAAACCGGGCTGTGCTGCATAGTACAGGATTTTTCAACCTCTCACTATTGACATGTTGGATGGGATGAGTCTTTGTTGTGGGGGGTGCCCTGTGCCCTGTAGGATATTTAACAGTATTTTGAGTTAATATTTAACTCAGTTTTACCCACTTAATATCAGTAGTATCTTCCCAGTTCTGATAACCAAAAATGTCTCCAAATACTGTCAAATGGTCTCTAGGAATAAAATTGCCCTCAAGTGAGAATCACTATGCTGGAGGAAATGAGTAGAGTCTCTAGGTTCGTAGAATTTCCAGGTTTGGAGTAAAGGATGTGAGGAACAAAGTTTAGCAACATGGAAAGCAAGCTGTTAAAAATGGAAAAGAAAAGCAGCACTAATAAGAAAGCATGGCTTTCACTTTGCAAGATGAAGGAACTTCCACCTCTAGACAGTAGCTGAAGATCCACTTCTAATCCGTGCATGGGGTTATAAAAAAAACAGTGTTACAAAAGAGACACTCATGGATTTAGAGAAGGAACTTCTGATTGCAGGGGTTGGGAGTGGGGAATGGGGGATGGGATAGTTAGGAAGTTTGGGATAGATGCATACACACTTCTATACTTAAAATGGATAACCAACAAGGACCTACTGTATAGTGCAGGGAGCTCTGCTCAATGTTATGTGGCAACCTGGATGAGAGGGGAGTTTGGGGGAAAATGAACACATGTATATGTATGGCTGAGTGCCTTTGCTGTCCATTCTGAAGCTATCACAACATTGTTAATTGGCTATATACCTCCATATAAAATAAAAATATAAAAGCCAGATGTTGTAAAAAATAAAGCCACACACATGCCAAAGAAGTGGTTGATTAGATTGGATCTTGGCACAGCATCCTAGACACTCAGCAGATGATGACTTAGTGATTAGCAGATGTCTCCTTGTAACAGGACAACTACCTTTCTTTAAGAAGATGAATGCAGACTTTTTCTTGCCAGATCTAAACCACTGAGCTTAACAAAAATCTTCCAAGTCTGACCACTGTCAGAGCTTTATGGATATAAATTTATGATTATCGGGGTCTTTAGTGGCTGAGATGGGGTGGGAGGCATGAAGGAGACTATCAGATGAGACCTTCCTTGATTCCTCTCAAGTGAGGGGATCAGCTGCTTTAGGAGCACAGATCTTAGAAGTGGAAGCTGAAGAAGTTTCAAGTATTCAGCAGCATAGATTCCAGGTACAGACCTACAGCCAGGTCAGAATTACCTCATGCCCATGTTCAGTCACTAAGTCAACTCTTGGCGACCCCATGGACTGTAGCCTGCCAGGCTCTTCTGTTCATGGGATTTCCCAGGCAAGAATACTGGAGTGGGTTGCTGTTTCTTCTCCAGGGGTTCTTCCTGACCCAGGGATCAAACTTGTGTCTCCTGCACTGGCAGGCGGATATTTTTTTTTTTTACCTCTTAGCCATCTGGGAAGCCCCTATGACATAATTTATCTTACAAGAAAAAGAGAGAAGATATGGAAATCATCCCACAGTATGAAAAAATGTTCAATTATCTACTTTTACAAAATAATTTCACATGGTATAGACATAGACGGAAGCGTCTCAGAATTTTTTCAATTGATGATGAAATATACAAAATAAAGTAAGAGGTATTAAGGTAATAAAGTTAAAAGCCTTAATAACTAGTCTCATTCTAATTACACAGAGCTAAATTTAGAGTGGAATTGTCAACCTAAGGATTATGAGATGGTGAGGAAATTAGAAGCAAGTTCTGCAACCAGTGTTTGTGTTAAGGAGTCAGTGTGAGTCACAGGGAAAGACATCAGGCTCAGAGTCAGGAGATCCGGAGTCGAGTCTTAGCTCTTTAACAGTAAACATCATGACTCTGAACAAGTCACTTTCCACCTCCATACAGTGAGAGGATTGTACTATGCCTGTTCAACTTCTTTCTGGTCTGTGCTTTGCTGGTTGTCTCTGTTATTAAAAGATGACAATTATGGTATGATGCAGGTTATGTTACAGAACTTAATTCCTTCCAGTCAGCCTTCTTTATTTTCACGCTATGCTGCAGACTGGAAGCAGTGAATAGAGTGAAGTAGATCTGAGTTCGGAGCTTCCCAGGTGGCACTGGTAGTAAAGATTTCTCCTGCCAATGCAGGAGATGTCAGTGACGCAGGTTCATTCTCTGGCTCAGGAAGATTCCCTGGAGGAGGACATGGCAACGCACTCCAGTATTCTTGCCTGGAGAATCTCACAGACAGAGAAGCCTGGAGGGCTACAGTCCATAGGATTGCAGAGTCAGACATGATTGCAGCAAATTAGCATGCATGCACAGATATGAATTCAGACCTGCAGACAAATTATTATATGATCCGATCAATGTGTGTCTCCCTCAACTTCTTCCCTCTTCCTGTATACAATATAGTATCAGTTCAGTTCAGTTTGGTTTTCATACCTCTTCATTCTAGTCCTCTCTGTGCAGTTTTTGGCTCTATCTCTTCCCTATTACAGGGCTTCCAAAGGAGTTCAGTGGTGAACAACTCGCCTACCAATGCAGGAGACGCAGGAGATGTGGGTTCCATCCCTGGGTCTGGAGGAGGAAGTGCCAACCCACTCCAGTATTCTTGCTTGGAAAATCCCCATGGGCGGAGGAGCCTGGCAGGCTATAGCCCATGGGGTCACAAAGGAGACCAGCATGACTTAGTGACTCAGCAGCAACTTCCCTACTCGAGAACACTCTTCTCCTCTGACTTTGCTGATTTTGCCCTCAGGTTTCTCTTCACACTCTCTTTGGTTATTCTTTTTTTGTTTTTTTCTCCCGCTCGTTTTCTTTTGCTTGTTCCCACTGTTGACAGTTCCCACGGGTTCTGTCTGCTGTCCATTGCTATTCTCAGTATGTATATTCTCCTTGAGAGAATTTCTCTAAAGCTTTATTGAGATATAAGTCGCATACCATACAATCCTCCCATTTAAAGTATACAATTCAATGTTTTCTAGTATTTTCACAGATATGTACAACTAATCTCAACCAATGCCAGTTTTAGAGCTTTTTCATTGTTATGAAGAAATCTCATAACTTTTAGCTATTGCTTTCCAGTCCCAAACTCTTAGCAACTACTAATATACTTTCTGTCTCTATAGATTCACCTATTCTGTACATTTCATGTAAATGGAATCATACAGTATGTGTTTTGTTGTGGCTGGATTCTTTCATTTAGCATAATGTTTCAAAAGTCATCCACTTTGCATCACATATCAGTATTCTTTTTTTTTTTATTGCTAAATAGTATTACAATATAGAAATGTGCTTATTGCTCAGTCACATCTGACTCTTCACTACCCTTTGAACTATAATCCGCCAGGCTTCTCTGTCAATGGGATTTCCCAGGCAAGGATAGTGGAGTGAGTTTCTGCTTGACTCAGGGATTGAACCAGCATCTCCTGTGTCTCCTGCATTGCAGGCAGATTCTTTACCTGCTGAGCCATCAGGGAAGCCCCGCCCACAATATAGATACACCACTCTTTAGTTAATATACATTTACATTGTTTCTTTTTGGCTATTAAGAACAGAGCTGCTCTGAACATTCATGTACAAGTTTGTGTGTGAACCTATGTTTTCATTTATCTGGGCTGTATACACCAGCAATGGAATTGCTGGGTCTTATTTGTTCCTAAGGTTTGATTTACAATATCTTGCAGGTTCATGCCTAAGTCGTATCTTTAGTTCACACTCTTTTACACCACAGGGAAAGAAAGTGGTAGTCACTCAGTCATGTCTGACTCTTTGCGGTCCCATGGACTGCAGCATGCCAGGCTTCCCTGTCCTTCTCTATCTCCCAGAGTTTGTTCAGACTCATGTCCATTGAGTCAGTGATGCCATCTAACTGTCTCACCCTCTGCCACACCCTTGTCCTCCTGCCTTCAGTCTTTCCTAGAATTAGGGTCTTTTCCAGTGAGTCAGTTCTTTGCATCAGATGGCCAAAGTATTGGTGTTTCAGCTTCAGCATCAGTCCTTCCAAAGAATATCCAGGACTGATTTCCTTTAGGATGGACTTGTTGGATCTCCTTGCAGTCCAAGGGACTCTCAAGAGTCTTCTTCCACACCACAGTTCAAAAGCATCAGTTCTTTGGCACTTAGCCTTCTTTATAGTCCAACTCTCACATCCGTACATGAATACTGGAAAAATGATAGCTTTGACTAGATAGACCTTTGTCAGCAAAGTGATGTCCCTGCTTTTTAATACACTGTCTAGGTTGGTCATAGCTTTCCTTCCAAGGAGCCAGCAAGTGTCTTAATTTCATGGCTACAGTCACTGTCCACAGTGATTTTGGAGCCCAAGAAAATAAAATCTGTCACTGCTTCTACTTTTTCCCCTTCTATTTTCCATGAGGTGATAGGACCAGGTGCCATTTGTTTTTTTAATGTTGAGTTTCAAGGCAGCTTTTTTACTCTCCTCTTTCACCCTCATCAAGAGATATTCTGTAGACAGCTTCAAAAACAACACATCCCAAATTGAGCTCACTGTCCTCTGAGAATTGCTTTCACTCCCTGAATTATTTATGACTGTTCATGCACTCACATACAGCTAGCTGTTGCACTTGTCTCATCTCTCTCAATACTCGTATTCTGTCCACCGTAGATCCTGTCAACTCTTCTTTCATACGTTCTTCAAATCTGTCCTCACAAGTCCCCACTGTGTCTGCCCTAGTTCAACATTGCCCTTCTAGGTTACAATATTTCAGCTTTTTCCCCCTTGTCTTTAGTTTTGTTATTCTCTAATCCAAAATCCACAAGCATGATCCTTCTAAAACATAAATCTGAACCCACCGCTCTCCTTCTTATTCTCTTCAGTAACTCAGCACTAAAGAATTACAGGCAAGTTCTAAAGCACAGCCTCCTCCCATTGTTTCCCTTGCCACTCCCTGACATCAAGCTCCAGCAGCTTCAAAAGTTGTAGTCTCCGACAGGCACTGTCCTGCTTTTACCTTTTGTGTATTTATGAATTCTGTTCACTGCCTTCAATGTGTCTACCACCTTCCCTAAATTGTCTGTTATCCACCCTTGGGCTTAGTTTCTGTCATTGTTATTCACCTTTTAGGATCCTTGGAACCCTCTTCCATGAACTTCCCTCTTACCCCCTTCCCTCTTTTCACTCTAAGAAGTGTTAGCGTTCCCTACCTGTATGTTCACATAATAACCAAGAAGATTTTTGTCAACACATTTACAACATTGTATTTCTTTCTTGAGAACTTCCTTAAACCATAGTTCTTACCTACTCGTTCATACAAGGTATTTTACTTTACCTAACATTTCATTACCTGTTTATCCTTCATTATCAGTGATGTTAGGGTGAGGCAACAGTAATATTATTGGTACATGATCCTTAGAACACAGTACATTTTTGTCCTAGTGTAGCATAGGTTCCTTTTTCTTCAGCTCCTCTTTTACAACTCTTTCCACAGACTCACAGCAATTGCCATCTAGTTGATAGACATCATTCCTTCCCTTGAACCACATAGAACTTATGGTCCAATATGTATATGCCTTATATCCAAACTACACCTACAGCCCAGGCTCATTTCTTTGAACAAGGAGGTAGAATCAGGGGGGCCTGAGCAAGTCCATGAACATCTTATTGGCACAGTTATGTGAACATGAACACTAGGAACATTCACAGCAGCTCCTTCAAGGAATTCCAAAACGAAGCCATAGTAGGAAACATGTTGGCCAAGTGTAATTGGAGAAGGATGAAGGAGAGGGTAAAAGCAGAACAGATAAATGGAACACAAGAGGTCAATATTCAGTGTATAAGAAAGTGTGAATTATAAGTGTGGATGATTGGATCTGAATATTTTCCTGTACCCTGGAAGAAAGAGCCTCATAATTTTCTTTTTTTTCTTTGTTTTGTTTGAAGTCAGTAGTCTATCCTTAACTCTTTGAGGCAAGAATGGAGCAGTAGGTGTCATGGCACATTAAGTGAACACATTAGTAGAGAGCTCCTGCAACACTCTATTGAAGAAAAGAAAAAAAATAAGACTAAGGCCAAGCTTGGTGCATCATGATCACAGAAGAAGAGTCACATGTTTGCCATTATTAACCTGAAGCATAGCTTGGGGTGCTTTGTATGTATTCAACCCTATTTTAATTGTTAATGTTTGCCTTTCTCTTCCTCCATAATGCATAGAACTCAAAAGAATTCTAGGGAAAATGTTGTACATTAACATATATTTTGGGAAAGTATCTTTTGTGAAAAACTAGAACAAGAGGCAACTGAGGAAAGCCCTATTTTCTGTTAGCAACTGAAGAATCGGTAACTGTTTAGCTTCATAAAATATGAAAATATGCAATTTGTATAGGACCTCATTCATGTATCAGAAATGAAAAAAATTTTGTAATTGAAATATATCAATGAATTTTTAGTAGATTTTGTATAAGGATACTTCTGTATTCTCCACTATCTTTAGTTTCCTCATCTACCCTGCCCTTTACTTAGGACCAACATAAAATTGAATTAGCTCATTAAATACTATTTCTAGTATTTTTGTTTTCTATTCTTAAAATATCTGGATATATTAAGAGTAAAGGGTAACCTACTAATACTGGAGGCACTTCTTTCCAAGGCAAAATTAATCTTTCTGTCAAGAGGCAAAATTTACTATAATATTGCTTTGGTGTGTTGGATTAAAGAATCATATATTGTAACAAAAATTATACCAAAAACAAATATTGCAACAAGTTTCAAAGATTAAAGAATAAAATTCCTAAGACTTTTCAAATAAGAACCCAAGTAGATTAAACTGTATTTCAAACCATAACTCACAGTCTACCATATAATTTTATTCCATTTTCTCCGAGATCACAATCTAACATAGATCAACAGAGAAAAATAAATTCTTTAGATTTTCCGATATGAAAATGAAGAAAAAAGTGATACTCTTGAGTACTATGAAAAGTGAAAGTCACTCAGTCATGTCCACCTCTATGACCCCATGGACTGTATTTTGCCAAGCTTCTCTGTCCATGGAATTCTCCAGGCAAAGGGGTCTTCCTGACCCAGGGATCAAACTTGGGTCTCCCACATTGCAGGCAAATTCTTGCCACCAGGGAAACCCCCTAAGCATTATATGGGGCTGTAAAATATTTATCTCATTTACATACTTGGAAACTGTATTTTTTTATAACTATTGTTTTATTTACTGGGCTTCTCTGGTGGCTCAGTGGTAAAGAAACTGCCTGCCAATGCCGGAGATGTGGATTCGATCCCTGGTCAGGAATATCCCCTGCAGAAGAAAACAGCAACATACTCCAGTATTCTACCCAGGAAATCCCATGAGCAGAGGAGCCTAGTGGGCTATATAGTTCATGGGGTCACGAAAGAATCAGATATGACTGAGCAACTAAACAACAACAACGACAAATGTTATTTACTAGAATCAGGTTATCACTTAAATGTGGTCTAGTGGGAGGCATGTTAAGCCAGGAAAAAAGAAGGTCTGCATTCTAGCCTTGTCTACAAAACTGAACTATAGAGCCACAGCAAGAATATTCTGTTTGGTTGTATACTTGCAAAACAGATCTTTACCAGAGAAGAGTTCACTATCATGTCTACAAAGTGGTTCACAGACTTACAGATTTTAAATAGTAGAGACCAACATAAAGTTACTCTTTTTATTTTCTCAAGTGATTACATGAAAAAAGTGTGATTACAATCTATAATTTTCATCAATTAATAATAGACATTTAGTAGTGAAATACAGAAAGGGTATAATTTCAGCATTACATAAAAATGTAGCATTTAACTTTATGAAAACTTAATAAATATTATTTGCTTATTTTTTCTCAGATAAAGTTACAGACTACAAATTTATATACCATTTATATAAATAATTGAGGATTTACCCAATATCATGTACGTTTAAACACCAAGTCCAAACCCTAATGATTCTTCTAAAATTATTGTTAAACAATAAACATCACAGGAAACATAGGATATTTTCCTGCCTTTTGCTTTATTTTCTATAAATCTAAGATAGAGATCATTAAATTAATGATGCATTTTTCAGGCATTTGATACATGGCAAACCATCTTTTTGTTATTTCAGATTGATTTTCCAGCTACTGAGTGGGAGTATATGAAACTTGATTCTGAAGAGAATGGAAGTGATCTTGAAGAACCACCAAAAGAATGTTTAAAACATATTGCCAGACTGTCACAGAAACAGACTCCCATACTGTAAGTGACCCAGTTCTTGGGAGGGAATTTTGCCTGCATTTCGTGATACCAGCAATCATTCTAGAAGCACTCATATCTGTTAAGAGTGTACCTTTCTTCCCACATAACTCCTCTCATTTCCTACGATCACATCCGTTGGATGATCCACTAATACTTAGGAGCTAAGCTAATAATTGCGTTTTTTTTTTAAGATTTTTTTTTTTCTGTGACACTCAGAAAAATTTCGGTCAAGGAAAAATAAAAAGATTGGAAAACATTCAGTTCAGAACAACAAAGCAGAGACTGATAGATACAGATCATCATTTAACAGTGATAAACCATTGCTCTTCAGTTAGATAGAAAATTGTTTTGGTAAACCAGAAAATGTAAAATTTAATTATAATAACATTAAAAAAAGAAAAGAAATAGCTTATGTTTTAATACCACTAAATTAGTAACTAAAGGAGTACTTAAATTTTGTCAAACAGCAATTCTCTGGGAAAGAGATATCCCAGGAAGAATTATAAGAGATTACTAATTCTGTGTACTTACTGTTTGTACTTAATATTTGGTAATCTCTAAACCACAGCTTATGATGCTCTCATTACCACATGGAAAAGCACAAAACTAAGAAAGCAGCTCTTCATGTTGCCTGGTGTGCTGTGGTTCATGGGGTCACAAAGAGTCGGACACGACTGAGCAACTGAACTGAACTGAAAAGAGAAAGAAAGCAGTACAGTAAAGTAGCTGATGTAATATTTTAGGAAGAAGGTCATGGTCACTAGAACGAGGGCAATGGCAGTGGACATTATGGACATTGATAGTAATGGCTGGATTTGGCACATATCTGTGAATTGAAAAGACATGACTTGATGATTAATAGTAAATAGGGGTGAAGCCAAATGAGAAACCAAACAATCAAGGTAATTCATTGAGGAGTCTAAGGTTTGAAGTTGCTGAACTGGGCACATGTTAGAGTCATTTTCTGGAGGAGGGATTAGTTTGAGACCTTTCAGACTGAGGTGTTGAAAGTGATTAAGCATTTAGTTTGGGATAATCTTGTTACTGCCCTGAGCTCTAATTTCCACACGTCTTACTCTTTTCCTCATTCACTTCAAGCCAATGACATCTCTTTACTTCACATATTTCACATGTGCCGTTCCCTCTTCCATCTCAGGGTCTTCTTATTTGGGATTTCCTCTTCATGAAATACTCCTTCCTAGTTCTTCACATGGCTGAATCATCTCAACTTGTAGTGAAAGTGTTAAAATGCTAATCGTTCAATCATGTCTGACTCTTTGTGACCCCATGGACTGTAGCCCGCGAGGCTCCTAGGTCCATGGGATTCTCCAGGCAAGAACACTGGAGTGTTCTTTCCTCCCCTAAGGGATCTTTCTGACCCAGGGATTGAACCTGGATCTCCTGCACTGCAGGCAGATTCTTAACCATCTGAGCCACCAGGGAAGCCCCTCAACCTGTAGGTCTTCACTTAAGTGTGATCTTCTCAAAGAGACCTTCTTTTATGACCCTATTGAATGACGTTTTCCCCTCTTTACAATCTCTCTTATTACCTTTTTTATCACACATAACACAATCTAGTATCATCTTGGTCATTAATGTGTTTTTTTTTATCATTTGTTTGTGAGAACCGAGAGAACCAGGAACCTATCTTATTTATTACTACATTTCCAGTGCTCTACCCTTTGCCTGATAAATAATATGTGTAAAATAAATGTTATAAAGGATAAAGTTCCTTGGCATAGAGTTTGGTATAAAAATGACCTTAAGGATTCTCATAGTTCTTATGACACATATTTTGATTATCCATCGTTATTCTAGACTATTGCCATCTTGATTAAATGAAGCATCTTTTGATAGTTCTTACTCAAAAATCTAAAACTTTACATTTAACAAGTATGTCACATGTCAAAGACTGATATATTTGTATGAGAGATTTTTTTAAAATATAAAAAGTTGCTATCCTTTGAAATTTTAAATATGTTCAAACAAAAAATGTCAAAACCAACAAATAAATAAGCATAGAAACTGCTTTTAAATATTAAAGGTTTGTGCTTTTAAATTATCCCCAGTGAATTCTAACTGGTTTTATACTTCAGTTTTCTATTTAAGTCAATAACATACATAAAATAAGCAACATTTTTCTCTTTTACTCACTCAAATACAATTATTAATGCTCAGTAGAATACAGTTTCATTCAGGTCTGTGCAGACAGATGGAGAAGTCTTCAATGTGATAAAACTTATGTTAGAAACAGATTAAATTCATTTTCCAAATACCACATTTTATCATTTAGTTGGTGACATACTTGTTTTCTTTCAGATTGGTTAAATGTAAGCAGTCGAGAAGTTCAGACTCAATGTAGTTTGGTGAAAATGTACTATAACATTTGTAAAAACAAGAATACCTTCTTGATGACCTCTAAAGAAAAGTATCTAATGTAAGGAAAATCTCAGAACATAAGGTAAAAAAACAAATCTTTTGAAAGAAATTATGCCTCCACTTCTAGCCATGAAGGTTACCTACTATATTACTAAACTAGTCCTCCTGAATTAAAGAAATAAGACACAAGAGAAATACATATAAAGCAACTGCTCTCAGAAATTGAGCAGAGAAGGCTTGAGGTGAACCCATGAGTAAAAAGGCCTTCGGACCCAGAGACATTTTCTGTATCATAGCTCTGGAAGTTATGATTAAAGAAGAGCAGGCAGGTCTTACCTCCTGAGATTAAAAATAATAATAATAATAAGGCAGAGATCACAGAGTTTAATAATTTTGAGGCAGCTAGAATTTCCAGAGAATAATAGCGGAGAAAGGGAGATCCACCGGATAGGAGCTACAGAAATATGCAGTGGTATCTCCTTATATATTCAGCTGAGTACTGAGCCACTCATGAGCACATGGGGATTTTATAGCAAAAGAACTGCTACCGGGAGATATGAAATAAATGTAGATTCTAGAGGTTACGCAATGCTGGGAGACATAAATTTTCTGACCAGTAATGATGCAGAAAGATCACAGAACACCTCAGCACTCAATAAAGAAATCAGAAAGATGCATATTAGGAGTAAGTGTGCTCTAGCTCAAGACTTAGGACTGCGCTTGGCCTAGTCTAACACATCATAAAAACAGACCCCAAGAGGATCAAGCTGATCTACTAGTAGTTAAACTGCCTCCTAAAAAAAAAAAAAATGGAAACATTCAGCACTCAAATGTAGCAAAATGCAGACTCTGAACAATGTAGGATTTTAAATGTTTAGTGTACCACCAATAATTGCTAAACATAGGAAGAGTCAGGAATATATAACTATAGACCAGGATTGAAGGAGGCAGTTAGAAAGGCTTCAGATGTTTTGCCTGCATGTTAAATTGCTTCAGTTGTATCCAACTCTTTGCAACCTCATCGACTACAGCTTGCCAGGCTTCTCTGTCCATTGGATTCTCCAGGCAAGTACAATGGAGTAGGTTGCCATTTCCTCCTCCACCAAATATTTTACAACTGTTATAAAGGTATTTGGGAGAAGGACATGGCAACCCACTCCAGTATTCTTGCCTGGAGAATCCCAGGGACAGAGGAGCCTGGTGGGCTGCTGTCTATGGGGTCTCACAGAGTTGGACACGACTGAAGCGACTTAGCAGTAGTAGTAGTATAAAGGTATTTATGGGTTTGAATTAAAAGATACGTATGGGTGAACAAATGAAGTAGAAAACTGGAAATTTAAGAACTGGAAGGCACAGTATCTAAATTTTTAAAAATCACTGGAAAAGCTTAATAGATTGCATAATGAAATAAAAGAACAGTGGGTTTAAAAAATGGGTGATAGAAATTATCCATGTTGAAATACAGAAAGAACAAAACCTGAAAATAGTGATACAGCCTTGTGACCTATAGGACAATTATCAAGCAATGTAACATGTATGTATTGGACACACAGGAGAGAAGAGAGATAGTGAAGAAAACAAATTCTTAAAGAGATAATATCCAAAATTTTACAAGTTTATTTAAAAAAAATCACCTACAGATATAAGAAACTTAGCAAATCCCAAATACATACACATACATACACACACAGACACACACACACACATCACCTAAGCACACCATAGTGAATTGTCTGAAAACTAAAGATAAATATAAAATTTTTCTAAGGCTTCAGAGAAAGTCAGCAAATCATATTCATGGGATGAACTATAATTCTACAGATTTCTCATTAACTTCATATTTCTCATTAGAAACTATGGAAACCAAAAGACATTATATGTTATCTTTCATTTTGAAAGGGGAAAAGAAACTCTATCAACTTAAAAATTCCATAACCAATAAAATTGCATTTCAAAAATTAAGACAAAATTAAAACATTTCAACTAAATACAGCTGAATTAGTTAATTATAAGCTCATCTGTACTGTAAGAAATTTTAAAGAAAATACTTCAGGCTGAAAAAAGTGATGACTAGATGGATATTCAAATCTACAAGAGTAAATGAAAAGTACCACAAAGGGAAAATCGCTAGATAATAAAGATATACATTTTTCATGTTTATTAATTTATTTTTTTAAATATTTAACTAAAAATAATCATAATGTACAACTGGGCATATAATAAATAAAAATAAACGTATAGCAGCTACAGTAATAATGAGAAGTAGAAAAATAAAAGCATAGTGTTCTAAGGCTCTTATACATAAAGCAGTGCAATAACTGTGGTTGGCTGCCTCAGTGGTAAACAATCTGCCTGCCAGTGCAGGAGATGTGGATTCAATCCCTGGATCGGGAAGATCCCTTGGAGGAGCAAATGGCAATGCACTCCAGTATTCTTGCTTGGGAAATCCCAGTTCAGTTCAGTTGCTTAGTCATGTTCGACTCTTTGCAACTCCATGAATCGCAGCACGCCAGGCCTCCCTGTCCATCACCAACTCCTGAAGTTTACTCAAACTCATGTCCATTGAGTCCGTGATGCCATCCAGCCATCTCATCCTCTGTTGTCCCCTTCTCCTCCTGCCCCCAATCCCTCCCAGCATCAGGGTCTTTTCCAATGAGTCAACTCTTCGCATGAGGTGACAAAAGTATTGGAGTTTCAGCTTCAACATCAGTCCTTTCAATGAACACCCAGGACTGATCTTCTTTAGGATTGACTGGTTGCATCTCCTTGCAGTCCAAGATACTCTCAAGAGTCTTCTCCAACACTACAGTTCAAAAGCATCAATTCTTCAGTGCTCAGCTTTCTTCACAGTCCAGCTCTCACATCCATACATGACCACTGGAAAAACCATAGCCTTGACTAGACGAACCTTTGTTGGCAAAGTAATGTCTCTGCTTTTTAATATGCTGTCTAGACTGGTCATAACTTTCCTTCCAAGGAGTAAGTGTCTTTTAATTTCACGGGTGCAATCACCATCTGCAGTGATTTTGGAGCCCCCAAAAATAAAGTCTGACACTGCTTCCACTGTTTCCTCATCTATTTCCCATGAAGTGATGGGACCGGATGCCATGATCTTCATTTTCTGAATGTTGAGCTTTAAGCCAACTTTTTCACTCTCCTCTTTCACTTTCATCAAGAGGCTTTTCAATTCCTCTTCACTTTCTGCCATAAGTAATATCCAACTTTATGTTGTTTACAGGTGCATATTTTAAATACAAAAATTTAGCTAGATTAAAATTAAAAGAATTGAAAAGGATATATAAGGAAAATCATACCATCTTGATATCTTTGGGGGAAAAATTTTGACAAAATTCAGCACCAATTTATAATAAAAACTTTCAAAATAGAATAGAGTGTAACTTCCTTGACCTTCAACTCCTGAGTTGAATCTGGATCTATAGGAAAAGCTATAGTTAGCATTATATTAAATGATGCAAGAATAAATGTTTTCCCCCTAAGTTTGGGAACAAAGGTGCTTGCCTAAATATTCTTCATCAGTGTTATACTGTCAGTCCTAGCCAGTGCAGTACTACAGAAAAAAAAGAAAAGTTTTAAAAGTGTAAAAGTCAGAAAGAAATAAAACTGACTCTATTTTCAGATGGGTGATTATGTAAGATCATAGCATTTGAGATTAATGTACAAAATGCAACTATATTCCAGTAAAAAATAGAAAATAAATTTCATTTTTATAAATTCTATCAATATTTACAATATCAACATTTCTATCTCCTGCAAAAGGGAATGGCAACCCACTTCAGTATTCTTGCCTGGAGAATTCCATGGACAGAGGAGCCTGAAGGGCTAGAGTCCATGGGTTTGCAAAGAATGAGACATGACTGAGTGACTAACACACAATTACTTAAAAATGCAAAACTTTGCTAGGAGAAATTAAAGGAAACCTCAGTAAATGGAAGAATATATCATATCATTGATTAGAATAACCATTATTGTTAAGATGACAGTTCTAGTTGTTCTGTTGTTAAGATGACAGTGTCTAATTGATAAAAATACAATTATAATCTGTTAGTATATTTTTTTTTCAAATGATCAGTATGCTTTTAATTAAACTCCAGTGACTTGGATAATATTTTTTAATGGACAAAATTAAAGAATGGCAAGAATGCTATACAATTGGTCTGTCACACCCTACACCTGATAATGTGAAATGTAACAACCACTTCAGGAAGCAGTTTCTTCAAAAGGTAAACACGAGACATACAACCAACTCATTTCCCTCCATGGTACTTCCTAGGAGAAATGAAAATACACCTGTACAAACACATGCACACAAATGTTCACAAAAGCTTTATTCATAACATTCCAAAACAGGAAACACTCCCAGTGTCCATCAGATAGGAGAAAGGATAAGCAAATTGTGATATGTTCATATAAAGGAGTAATACTCATTAACTGAAAGAAAAAATCTATTGATATACTCAACAGTATGGATAATTTCAAAAAATTATCCTTAGTGTAAGAAGCTATAAATAAAAAAAATTCATGATTCTGTTAATATGAAGTTTGAAAGTAGATATTATTTGTCTAAAGTGAAAGAAGTCATACTACTGCTTGCCTCTGGTAGCATAAGAAACTGTTTTATATCTTGAAAAGAGTGTGGATTTTATTATACATGATATGTGCATTTGTCAAAATTTAATTAACTGAATCCATGCATTCTCTTTATGTAAATTATGCTTCAGTAAAAGAGAAAAAGGCATTGTTCAATATTGAAAAATGAATTCAGTTAAAACAAAATAATTAGTTTTAGTAGCATAGTAATAGTTTTATTATGGAATATTTTTCTTCTGGGGGGTTTCTGGTGAAGAAGGTAGTGACAAAAGAGAAAAAGAGCCCAAATGTACCTCAAAAACCATCCTCTGGAATTCATTTCTTTCATTTTGCAGATGGAGAGGATTTCAGAAGACATTATAGAGAAATAATGATATTTAAAATCTGTTAATAAGTCTTGCTATCTCTTCTTGGGAGTTTTAGTTAATGAAAGCTGAGTGACAGAGTGTCAGTTTGGAGGAGACAGTGTTGAAAAGCTGTCATTGTCGTGTGAGAAATGCTGTCCTTCAGTTCAACTGTGGTCTTGAATGCTTTTCCTGGAGTGTAAGCAAAACATGGTAAACTGTCAGTGAATCAATGGCCCTTGTCCCAGATCTAGATCTTCTGAGGGACACACTTGTGCATGAGAGAAAGTCCTATTCACTGGCATTTTAACTCCAAACTTCCAGCAAACTCTGAGAATTTAAAGCCAGATCCAGGGATGAAATGAGATCTTTGTTTCTGAAGTTTAGAGCAAAAAGTTTTCTGACCTCTGATGAAACTTGCTTCGAAATGAAGGAATGTCATCTTTAAAATATGCCATTTCTTCGCAGGCCCACTTGGGTCTAAGTTAATTTCCAAAAACAATAAGAAAGTAAATGGTTGAGAATTTTTGTTCTAAGTAGTACATGTGGCAGAATTGATAAACTTGTTCTGCCTTAAAGGAGACAGAAACTTTACTAACCAGAATGACATTTTTTAAAAAGTGGCAAAGATAAGAGCAAGGAAAAATACATGTGAATTATCTGAAGTACATTTTATTTAATTTTTCTATAAAAGATTAAAGTTAGTGGGAAATAATCTGATAAAATAACCTATCAAACTGTCCCAAGAAGATAAAGGACTTATTTTCCAAAAGAAACTAAAAATCAAAGAACTAGACCTAATATTTTGTACTGACTGTTCATAGCAAACGTTTGTTAGTGTCACAGACTCCAGTAAAGTATCGCTTTCAATCTGGTTTTACAGCCTTTCTGAGGAAAAGAGAAGATACTTATGGTTTTATCGCTTCTACTGCAACAATGAAAATTGTTCCCTTCCTTTGGTCTTGGGAAGTGCTCCTGGATGGGATGAAAGAACTGTTTCAGAAATGCATACCATTTTAAGAAGATGGAAATTCTCTCACCCTTTGGAGGCACTTGGACTTTTGACTTCCAGGTAAGAATTGCATGACAGGCATGATATTACTAATGTGAAAATTTTGAGGAGAAAAACTGCAAGTCTCTATAAGTAATTCAATACCAATTCTGTTTATTTCCAATTTCAGTAGCTGTGGATATTAAATTTAGATAAATGCAAGCTGTGAATATCAATTTGAAACAAATCTAAACTGTAATTGTGTCTTCTTTTTTTTCCCCATTTATTTTTATTAGTTGGAGGCTAATTACTTTACAATACTGTAGTGGTTTTTGCCATACACTGACATGAATCAGCCATGGATTTACATGTGTTCCCCATCCTGAACCCCCCTCCCACCTCCCTCCCCATCCCATCCCTCTGGGTCTTCCCAGTGCACCAGCCCTGAGCACTTGTCTCATGCATCCAACCTGGACTGGTGATCTGTTTCACACTTGATAATATACATATTTTGATGCTGTTCTCTCGAATCATCCCACCCTCGCCTTCTCCCATAGAGTCCAAAAGTCTGTTTTATACATCTGTGTCTCTTTTTCTGTCTTGCATATAAGTTATCGTCACCATCTTTCTAAATTCCATATATATGCATTAGTATACTGTATTGGTGTTTATCTTTCTGGCTTACTTCACTCTGTATAATGGGCTCCAGTTGTGTCTTCTAAAGTAAAATAAACTTGAAATAAAATTAATGCCAGAGTTTCTTAAATGGGGAGTCTAGTTGCTCTTAGAGAAATAACAACCAAAAAATATTGAATAGGGAAAAATAAGCTTCTCTACTTGTCCCTCTCTCAAAACAAGAGTCCTTAAAAATTGAAACAGTATCTTTTACTATTGAAATATGCAAAACCTGGCAAAATACCCGTTTATAGTAGGTGTCCAGTTAGTAAAACAATGATAATGATAAGAGCAAAATGAAAAAAACCTATCCCTTGTGTATTCTGTGTATCTTCCCTAGAATAAAATGCATGGTGGTTGAGAATCTGGTGGATAATGATGTCATCGTCTAGTTAAGAGGAAGCATGTGGGAACAAGTGTGATGTCTGGTTCTGGCTTGGGGAAGCAGTTCTTACTTGGCTTCTGCTTCACTTTCAAAGCCAAGAAGAGATATTTTAAGTCTTCTTCATGGCATCAGCACTGATGCCATGAAGAAAGTCTGCAATCTCTAGAGTCAGAGAAGAATTATGACACTCAGTTGTGCTCTGAATTCTTTCTCAAGATCCTGATGAAGGAGAAAGAAGGGAGAGAAAGTGACACAAAGGACTTTTCAAACAATTTATTTTGGTTTATTTTAAAATTCATGTCTTTTATAAAACTTCTAGCATGTGAAAGGAGGAGAAAGGAATTTTTTTCTATTATTCATAGGAGTTACTAGAAGCTTCCTCTCAACCAAGTTCAAAATTTACAAACTATCTTAAAATTCTATGTTTTTTGTGCCTCGTACATTGAATATTCCTGTTTTCTGATATCTTTCATCGATTACTGTGCACCCATATACCCACCTTCCTTGATAAATGATAGAACACAGATAGATACATAGATAGAATTTGTCTTTTAGTTGAGCTTGTAGCTTTCCCCCTTTTTATAAGGCTTTTTCTACATGGATCCTTCTTTGACTGCACTAAGTAGAACTGACCACATCTTCCTATTACAGTGCTTTGTTTCTTTATGAATTACATTATATTGCAATGTGTTTACACACAACATTTGAAACATATAATTTATCCACATTAGAATGAGAGCTATTTAAGCCCAAATAGTTCATCATAGTGTTTCTGTTTCCCACAAGCTTAATAATACTTGAGACATAGTAATTAGTCAATATTGAATCAATCACTCTCAAAAATTCATTATGATCATTTATACCTTATTTTAAAATAATATTTAAACTATATTATTAGAAGGAGTCATCAATTATCTTTGTTTCTTACATCTCCTTATACAGTTGAATTAATTAATGAAATAATTATATAAGAAAATCAATTAACAATTGGTTTCATTGGAATTACTTACAGTTCATACTTATATTTCAAGAAACTTCTGGAAGAAATGAGTTCCCATTTTCACCTTACTCTTAACCTCTTTTTCTGATTTAGATAAGAGTAGCCAATATCAACAAATATTTTTTTGCTAAATCCTAATTGTTTATAGCTCAGTTAAAACTTAGAAAAGTAGCACAGTTATTGTTTTGTCATTCCTGAACTGATTAGCTCATAGAAAATTGGTTCAAAATGTAAAGGTTAAAAAAAAGTGTGAAGGTAACAATTCACAGAATAAGAGAAGGTATTAGCAAATCCTATATCTAATAAAGGAATTTAATTCATAATATATACTCTTATGATTCAATAACCAGACAATAAATAACCTATTTTTTTAAAAAAAATAATCAGAGGGTCTAACATTTCCCCAAAGAAAATATAGAAATGCCCAATAAGCACGTGGAAAGATGCTCAGCATCATTAATCTCTAGGGAAATATAAATGAAAACCACATTGAGATATCACTTGACACTAACTAGGATGACTATAAAGAAAAAGACAATTAGCCTTGGCAAGGATGTGAAGAAATTGGAAATCTCATATATTGCTCATGGAAATGTAAAATGGGGCAGCCACTTTGGAAAACAGTTAGTCAGTTTCTTAAATACTATACATCAAGTTAACATATGACCCAACAATTCCACTCAGGTATATACTCAAGATAAATGAAAAATAGGTTCCCTTAAAAATTCCTCCATGGATGTTCAGACCAGCATTATTTACAATAGCCAAAAAGTAAAAACAACTCAAATGACCATCAAATAATGAGAGGATAGATAAAATGTGGTCTGTCCATGCAATGTTAGAGTATTCAATAAGTGAATATTAAGTATGTTACAACATGAATGAACCTTGAAAACATGTTAAGCAAACAAAGCTAGTCACAAAAGAACACATGTTTTATGATGCCCAGAGATAGCCAAATGGATCGAAACAGAAAGTAGATCCCTGATCACCTAGAGCCAGAGGAGTTTGGGGCAATGTAGGGAACGAGAGTCTGTGGTTATGAGATTTCTTTTGTGGTTATGATTCAGTAACTCTGGGAGGGAGCTAAAAGCCATTAAATTGTACCCTGAGTGAATTGTATGGTATTTATCACATCTCTATAAAACTGTTAAAAATACTTAAAGAATGATTGTAAAGGCAATATATATGACTCTATATCGCTAAAGCCTAGTTTTCTTATGGGATAACTTCTTAAAGTTTCTAAAGCATTAACTATGGCCTGTTTTTTTAATAACTTATTGTTCCATTAAGATATACTTTGGTCTATTTTAAAGATCTTTAAATGTATTAACTAATATTTTATTGTAAAGTTCATGGAATAATTTTTACAAAAATCTTTGTCAGCATGAAGCCTGCTTAGTTTTCTTGCTTATAGATAAAGAGGATTCACTAGATGGACTTCTGTATTCTTTGATTCCTGATAACTAAGCTTCTCTACCTGAAGAGATGTTGAATATCTATTTGATTCTCTTAATATTTTAAGTATAAGGTTTAACTTTTCATTTAGTGCTCCCTTAATACTGCCTCATTTTATTATCTATAATGACCCTATAAAACAAATACTGTTATTATCCCAGTTTTACCTTTGAGGAAACTGAAGCTTACAAGGGTTAATTTGCCCAAAAGTCACTTGTAAGTTAAGGAGGTAGACTTAAATCCAGAGATTTGGAGCTTGCCATCCTCACCCTATAATTCACAGCATTCCTACATAGATACATGCTGTTTGTTTATGTACTAAATATGTAAATAAAACTATCCTAAAGTAGTTTGATTATAGTAAATAGCAGCACTTATGCTTGGATGTTCCCACTTCCCTGTGTAATTTCCTTTTTTCTGAATAATCAGAGTTTTAGACATTATGAGGACTGGTTTCAGAGTAGAGTGGTGTTTAGTAAGCGTCATTCAAGGAGCTTAGTAAAAGTTGATTTATTTGCACATTGAACAGTTCCTTATTATGTATCAAAAAAGGTCACTGAAAAGGTTGGAGTGCTTCCACTGTACTCATCCTCTGACTCCCACTCTCAGTTTAACAAAACTGTTAAAAGACTTGAGGACAGGCTGTTTGGAGAAATGAACCTTTCAACTTCTCTAAATTCAAAAGCTGACTTCTCTGAGAACAAACTATGTGCTTGTTAAGTGAGTTGTCAGAGTGAGTTCTTCAAAGGTCTATATTTTGTCTCCATTGAATAATCTATTTTTTTTCCCAGTGGCTTAACCTCCTGAGAACCAGCGTGCTCCATTTCTAGCTCAGAAAATTTTTAATATTGCTGATTACTTAATCCTGTTTGAAGATTCACCACCTCCTGCTGGCTTCTTTTTAGCAAGAGACATGTTGAGATTTGATTTAGCTCTTGTGGGCCATAGGGTGTTAATATTTCCACAGCTGAGTGTTAACAGTGTGTTCACCGGGTACTGATATTTCCATTAGAGAAGGCAGTACTGTCAGAATACCAGAGACCAAGGGCTAAGGTCTGTAGTTCTTGGCAGATGGTTGCTATTTTCTTGAACCCTGGTGCACAGACACAACTATTCAACTACTAATAATAAGCAGAAATTACCCAAGGAATTAGAAGGCAGTTCAAGGAAAGCATTCATTTAAAAATAGCAACTCTGAATTAGTATCAGAGGATTACATCAGAAGCTTAAATAAAAATTTGACAAGGATGACTTCCCATCCTACATGAAGTGAAATTATTGTTTTGCAGAAACAAGAGCAATACTTAATAGGCAGTGCCTTAGCTTTCAAAATCAGTTTCCCTGGAAAAATGTCCCACGAAAATGTTTGCATCAAACCACTGTATTCTTTATTGTAGAGATTAATGTACTAAAGTCATTCTTAACTAACATTGTAAGCAGGCCAAAGAGAATATGGAAAAGTTAGACAGCTATAATTTCCACATTTGCCTAAGCAATCAACTGATAGGTGACAATGTATCCTTTCCATTTATTTTTTGAGCAAAAATATGTGTACATTGAAAC